CACTCACTTTGGCCTGACTCAGTTCTGTTTTTTTCTGGTTATACTTTGGAGTATTCCCAAATTTTGACAATGTTGTTTTAATTTAGTGCCAGACAGTTTTGAACTGACTACAGTATGAATACAGGATCTGCAACCATTTTAATATTGCAACAATGATTATGATAATCTATAGTACTATACTATACGACACTATAATAAAGTGCATTTCACAGATTTGCGAACATTAGTTCAGTTTTTTTGTTTCATAAAAGTACCATAACATCAGAGTTTTCCAGATCTTGAGGGGCAACTGCTGTGATGCTGATCCACATTGAGGTTTTGCCTGTATTTCCTGCCCTCTGTCTGGGATGTGTTGTGTTTATATGAGAAATGCTACCTCTCAGCTGACAGATGCTGACTCAGACCTGTTTCAAGCATAAACACAAACTCGTACACTACTTTCAGAGCCGTCAAATGAGTAGAAAGGCCGCGGTCACATTGGAGAGTTGTATCAAACAGCGCTGGGCTTTCATCCACATCTGAGCTCTCTGACAGCTGTAATCAATGAGGCTGAGTTAGCACCTCCAACACAAGCTAAAGACACTGCAGCACATCCAGGGTGGTCCTCATCAGGAGAGCTTCAAAGGAAACTTTTAACTGTTTTATTTTGAGGAAAAGATTTTGGTTTTACTTTTTTAAAGGATCACATTGAATGGAACATTATGCTTACAGCTTTTATGAATGAAAATGTCCAATATGTACACTGCTAAACTTACTGACGCTTAAGGATGCACTGGCTTTTCTGGTGGACGCTCCACCACCAGCCTGACTCCAAGGAGATTGTGTTGCTTTGCCTAGAATGTTCCACAATTTGACATAAAATGTATCCATGTCCAATGGAGACGAGCAAATGATGCTACCAGGCTGATTTATGGGTCTTTAGTCTCATTCATGAAATGTTCAGTGGGTTTATGACTAAAACTGTTCACACAGACAAAACACAACCTTCTGCAAAATCTTGGAAAGCCCCCACACTCAGTTTGTGGTGCCAAACAGCTGCACTTTTTCATACCAAGTTGTCTTTTTTATAGGCCACAGACTTTTGGAAACAAAAATTTTGCATCAATGCTTTACCACTGAGAGCCCAGATTTGTTGAGGTGTGAGCTCTTGTACTGCAAGAATATAGGCAAAGCAATAACATCGACTCTTATTCCATTTCATGTATATATGTTTTCTATCATTTATATATGAGTCTATGCCCTGACTCAACTCCTCTTCTTTGTATCTTTCAGGTTATATGAAGCCAAACTGAACAGCCCGCTACAGAAGGCCTTGAGTCCCATCGTGTGGTGTCGACAGGCTTTGGACAACCCCAGTCCTGAGATGGAGTCGGCCAAACGCTCCCTCATCCACAGACTGGACCTCTCCATGTCAGGTACATCACCATTATTAAGCTCGCTTTATTAAGTTATGTGAGGGGGTTTCCGATTTTTCAAATTATTACTTGGTTTGGTGGGATAGTACCTGTGGAAATATTGTTTTCATATAGTAACTAGTTTTAGTGGCAGCTAAGTGACAGTTTGTGGAAAAAAGTGCAAAAATACAAATTCAACACCAAAAATTTCATTTAAAATGCAGCAACAATTTACTCGTATGGCAGTTTTAACAAAGTAAAGGTTTTTATTTATTTTTATTACTTTAATCACAATTTGTCTAACTTAGACAACAGTTGACAATGTTTTGGGCCTTGTTTACATTATGGTGGCCAGGTAACAGTGTCTCTATGTCATATCTGCTGCCCATGTCCAACCAGGAAGTCAAATTATAAACTTCACCAAAGGGAAAAAAAAACGAAAAAGAAAAAAATAATAAACCAGACAAAATGTGTAATAAATCTTAAATATATTTATGTCAACTATGTTTTAGTGAAATTAGTAGTTAGTAGTTTTGGAACTAATTAACCAGCACCATCTGAGGTTAAGACATTTTAATAGGTCAGTATGTTACAGTTTTCTAGTGGTTTTATTGTGTGTGTAAAAATTTAAAGACTCTCTTATCTTGTCATGGGTGCCAGCAAGTATGACATTTTGCACTTTTCTTACTTTATGTGCGTAGAGAAAAAAATAAAAAGTCAAATAATTATCTAAACTTCTTAACCAAACCTGATGAGCTTGCTGTTCGTAGCGCCCTTTTATTGAGCCCGAGGTGTGTCTGTGGTGGTGATGGTGACTCACTGACTGGAGACTCCATTGAGATGACTTCACCGGACGACAACAAAGTGAAACATTACAATAGTCTGCCTACAGCCCCAGCCTCAGGGCTCACAAAACACTCAATCCGCTGCGTCTGTTCCAAGCCTGGAGAAATAGACAGAGCTTCAACCAATGCCAGATCAGTATATGTGCGTCAGGGCTGTGTGGGAACTGTGATGAAAATGGCTATGTATGGCAATGTTGATATTGTACTTTAATAAATACTTAATGCCTTTATTGACTAGTAAAAGCGGTACAAAATCAAAACATTACAAAGACTACAGCAGAACAAAGAAAGGCCAAACTAGCACTTTATCAAGAGAATAATGAGCAAGGCTTTTGGAATATTTTAATAGTGAGTTCACAATTACACACCCCACATCAAAAGTGGGACTAATCTGGGAACCAAATATAGGAATTGAGCAGAACCAGACTAATATTAGCTTTGTCATTTGTGTCTATTTGTCTGTTGTGTTGTTGGATAATTTCACGATATGTTACAATTATTTGCGCTTGAAGCCTGGTGATTTGCTGCATAGATAGAACATAGTGAGTGGCTTGTCTTTGGTGAGTTCATGTGGAAACTATTGCGAGTCACGGTGGGACATAGAGGGCTGAAGCTCCACACGACGTCACAGAGTCCAGTCTAGTTTATTTGTGCTCATGTTGACAAAGTCTAAATCAGTACGATGCTAAAGAGAGCTGCAATGTGACTGGTCTTCAGAAATAAATATATGATGATTTTAACGTCTGTTGAACAGCTTCCACACGTGATGATTTTGTATTTTAAAATTATGGTGGCAGTTTTTTGGTTTATTTACTAATAATTTTGGTTGTGATAATATGACATTGGGTTAATCACATCATTGCAGGATAGGAATGGGAATGGGATGGGGATGGGATGGGAAATAATTATACGTTTCAGTTGATAATATGTTAAAAGCAGATGTCATTTCAACAATATTTAACTTAACTTTAAGCAATAAAGTTGATTTAATGCACTTTTTGATCATATACATTGACCTACTTCCGCTGTAGAAGTATTTTAAGGAACTTTTTTATAACCAGCCAGACATGTTTTTTTGGAAAAAGTTGCAAAACCATCAGAGGATATCACTTATCACTTTCTACTTAAGTAATAGTTTTCTTCCTGCCACATAGTGTGACTTTCTACAGTAGACATTGTGTCATTCTTCATGTTGTCTTGTCATGAGGACTTTAGCACTTGTCATTTTTTATATTTGTGTGTCCATAATTTTAGTCCCTCTTGAGAAGAGCTGGTCTCAGGTCCTGGTCTAAACTGAGCCCGGCCAGTCCCGTTTTGACAGACGTACACTCATGTGACTCTGGATCATGTTGACCAATCGAACACACAGCTCTGTGCTGGTCCTTGTCACTCAATGGGGCACTTAGTCAGCCAAAAACGTCTACTCAAATGAACTTGTTTTTATATTATGTGATATCTCTTAGCTTCACATTTCATAATTTTAGAATAATTACAGGGCTGAACGATCTGGAAAAATATCAAATTGTGATTTTTCTGGCAAGCATTGTGATTGTCATTAGATTTGCGGTTTGTGTTTCACTAATAGGGTAATGTTTAAAGTTTGCAAGATAATCACATACAGAAAAATTGACAAAAAGACTGAAATACAAGAATTACATTTACTTTAGAACATGTTTGTACAGATCTAAACTACAGGGTGATTTGCTAATTGCGTCCATTCAAATTGTGATTGAGATTAAGCTTGCTGCCCTAATTAATCTCATCGCATTACATTACACTTAATAAAAACAAGCAGAACTGGTTCCATAAATATTATTATAAAAACTATTCCTCCCCATCACAAGATGAGATCCTTGACTGAGGTCTTCAAATTGATATCTCATTCTCATCGCACCATTTGAATATTATTTGGGTATGCAAAATTTTTATGGGTTTACTTCATGCTCATTTAGTCATAACAGTGATGTCAACTTTACCAAGAACCTCCTCATCCTGTGGGACAAGACAAATCCCATAAGACCAGTGAAGCCACTTTCATTTGTCAATAATGTGGTCACCAGGGCGACTAAAGGAAGCTGGGATATTTTTCCCTGTATCCTTTGTCTGCTCAGTATTTGTGAAGAGAAGTGGTAATTTAAAAGTACTTAATACTTCTAGACCTTGACTGAGGCACACCCAAACTATGGCTTTACATGTGTTTGTGTAAAGGAGATGTGAAATAAAGACAGGGATGTCTTTACTTGTGTGTAGCTGCTGACTCACTGAAGGCCTTCCCTGAGTTTAAACATGACCAGGCCCTCATGTACAGTTATATAAGAGCGAACAGGGAGGCGGCTCTCAGACACAGCGTTTGTTACGAAAGCAAAGCGTTTAGCATAGCATAGCTCTTCCATAGTTTTGACAGCTGTCCTGGCCTGCTGCTCTACGGTGTGCCATAAGGGTCAAAAAACAGTCACACAAACACAGAGTGGAGTTAGTTCCTCTTTCCCACGTCACACTCTCGTGCTTCATGTTTTCTTGTTGACAAAGGAAACACTGAGTCGTTCTCGTGTCATGTGCTCAAAGTGTTCAGTAAAAACTTAAAGTTCTAAGTTTCAAAATCAAGATTTATCTTCCTAAACTTTCTCTCTTTTTAAGATCATGAAATGGTCCTGGCAGGAAGTTGAGAGTTCACTTATTTCCAGTGGATTTTTTGTTCCACAAAATTATCTTGGCCACAACACAGAGACATTACAGATGGTCGTTGGTCATGACATTGGGAGCAGATGATTTGCCTCTGAAAGGAAATTGATTTAGCAGCATTTTATTATTTTGTGGTCCAACTGTTTCAAATTACTATAACAATATTACAGCACCAATACAAGAAACAGGACATTTTGTAGACATATTTAAGGATTGAAATTTTGATTTGGAAATTTTGGATTAACCATGGTTTGAAAAAGTACATGAAAGAATAAAAGCAAGCAAAATTCAAATACATGCTGCATTGTGGTAGAGACTGTAAAATCTAATCTACCATTGTGCAATACATTTTCACAGCGACAGAGTGGAGGGTAGGTCTAAAAGTCCACACTAAAACATGTGAAGTCAGGTATAGTTAACTGGTTGATTCAATTGATGACAATAGCATTATTAGTATCCATTATATTCAAATATAATGTGAACACTTTGTTTGCTCACAATACAGTCACTTATAAATAGTGCTTTTCCACATTCAAGGCACTCACAGCGCTTTACAACATGGCACCACTCACCCATTCACACACACATTCATACACCAGGGTACACAGACACTGGGGGCGAGGTGGGTTAAGTGTCTCGCCCAAGAACATGTGTAGGAGCTGGCCTTGCACTGCCAACCTGTGGTCACTGGATCTGACCTGCCAACACTCTCATCAACTGAGCTACTGTAGCCTATAGTCATTTTCACAGCCCGATACAAGTGGGTGCGTGTTCATGTTTCGGAGTATTGGCTTGCTACAGGCTTCTCTCTTTGCGCATGTCGTCAGTGTGGACTTGATGTAGTTTGTTGAATAATGCATCAGGCCCTAGTGCTGATCGCAGAAACACAGAGATGGAGTGTAGCTCAGAGTTCACTCGCTCATCTTTAAAGGCACTTCCACAGCTGTGTAAATAACTCCAGTCAGACCAAGACAAAGACACATGCACTGAAACAGTCCACAGTCTGGTGCTGTGAGAGAGAAAGCACTGGTCCAGCGCTGGTTCATAGAGCGTTTCATTGTGAGTCCCGCTGAATGGTTTGTTGTGTGGAGTCGAACCAAGGCCTCCTCCAACATAAGGAATAATGGACTGCACTTTACAGAACAGCCTGCATTGATTTAGACATGTGCTCTCTGATGCTCTGTGTAGCTGACGCTAAATGGGCAAGTGAGGCAGCGGTTTGACAAATGTTATGATACTCCATAATTATGTTAAACTGCAACGTTTGAGCTGCTTGATGGTGAAGTAGTAGGTTTTTCTGTCTTTGGTATGTAAGGTTAGGGATTCTACCCAGATATTGCGATTAAAACTTATACTACTAGATCCTCATTTGAGCAAGTATCAAAGTTTTGTATTCTGTCAGTGTATTAAGAAAAAAAAATCTACAAGCTAAGATTCTAATAAGCTAACATCTGTCATTTTCTCTCTGTGGTTGCAGCCTTGAAGCGCCGGAGCTTGTATGGCAGCCCGTACAGTCAGGTGGGCTATGGGAGTCCGTATGGCTCAAACGCAGCTAATAGTCCTTACAGCAGCGGCTTCAACTCGCCCTCGTCCACGCCTGCCAGAGTGCCCATCGTCAGACAGCAGCTCCTACCTACAAACACAGGTACAACTCTAAACAAAGTAAACAAGAAGAGTGAAAGTTTACCACCCTAGTTTCTACTCTCAAAACTTATATTCTTTTTAAATGCTAATTTTATTTGTATTCTGTCCCAGTTTACCAGCGTAACTCGTCGGCGGACAGGAACCCTCCAGCTGTGAGCCCGCAGTCGTCTGTGGACAGTGAGCTGAGCACATCGGAGATGGACGAGGACTCTGTGGGCTCCTCCAACACGTATAAACTCAACGACGTCACCGATGTACAGATACTCGCCCGCATGCAGGAGGAGAGTGAGTACTGAAGCCTGCTTGGAATGTGCCATAGGGCTACACACCTTAGTTCAGAGGGTCGGGGGTCATGGACGTCTCAATCAGCTTCCTCCACAGACTCTGTTGCACTATCCAAGATCTGTTTTGGTCCAGTCTTGGATGTCATCGCTCTGTTGTCTCCCTCTCGTCCTCTTGCCATCTTTATACCCCTGCAGAATATGTGTGTCTAGATTTTGGGCCCTAATCATATGGCCAAAGTCCTGTAGTTTTCTTTTTCTTACAGTTTATATTTGTTGTCTCTGTCCTCATTTCCTTAAAGAATGACTTATTTATTCTGTGGGTAGACCATGGCATCCTCACGATGTGTCTGTAGCACATGTTTCCAAATGCTGCCAGTTTGTTGATGTTGGTCTGAGTAGCTCCCACAGCCTTTTTATAGCTCTAACAAATAAATATCACAATCACTATATTACGCATTATGTTACGCCTCAAGTTTTAATTTAAACCACAGGTCTAATTGGACAGTTGAGTAATTATTGTTCAGTATATTCTTAACCGTGTGTGTGAGAGACTCATGAAATACTTAAGAGACTCTCAGACATGTGCTGCTGATACTAGTGTAAGTTCTTTGTGTATGTCTCAGGTCTAAGGCAGGAGTATGCAGCCACAGCGTCTCGCCGCAGCTCGGGCTCATCCTGTCACTCTCTGAGACGCAGCACCTTCAGTGACCAGGAGCTGGACGCCCACAGCCTGGAGGACGAGGAGGAGGCGGTGCACCCGGCGTTCCACCTGCCGTCCACACGCTTCAGCCCCTCCCCACGACACTCCCCCCGCGTCTCTCCCCGAAACTCCCCCCGCTCCAGGTCTCCGGCCCGCTCCATAGACTACAGCCACGGCCGCGGGTCCCCACAGCCAATGATCAGCCGCCTCCAGCAGCCCAGGCACTCGCTACAAGGACACGGCCACGACCTGCAAACGAGTGTGGTCAAGAACGAAGGTAAGTGCTGTGTCCTCTTTTGATATTTGTTGCTATAATCCCTCATTCATCCAGGAGTAAGGTCACCTGGATGATGTTTCTGAAATGAAGACGTTTTTTATACCCTGAAACTTGCCCTGGCCCTTGTATACTTGCTCTAAAACTTGTTTACTTTCTTGATTAGTTTTGGGTCAGTCTGCCCCGTTGTCCTTTGCCAGTCTCTCCGCACGTGACTGACTTTTAAATTTTGAACAAGGGTTTTCAATGTTTTATTTTTTTTTGCCGTAACAGCTTAGCAAGTTTGACTCATGTTTTTTTTTTTTTTTTTTTGTGGTTGTTTTAGCTTAATGCAAACGGCTTCTCTTCTCATTATTTTCATCGTACATTGTAATACAGGCAATATCATGGCTGGTGTCTCTTTAAAGACTGAGTCATGCATAATGCAAGGTCTTTTGACATAAATGATTCTCTTGGCACAGAAAAGTTGCGGCGTAGTCTTCCTAACCTGCCACGGATATCGGCGGCAGCATCCCAGAGTCCAGAGCCGGTGAAAAACAGCCGCAGCGTTGAGTCCAACCTCCAAGTGCCAAATGGTTCACCGCGCCATCAGAACCAGTCTGCCAGTGAGTACCCCTACACACGCACACATACATACATACACACATACATACACACCCATATATATACATACATACATACATACACACGTAATCACGCACGCACACACACATCACCCTCACACACACACACCCTCTCTGCGACTCACACTGCATGAGAAGACTGGGTTTGGCTCTTCTGGTGTCTCTGTAACATTTGGCGGTGTGACAGGCTGTTTAATCTCCTTTTCAGCAGCGATTTTCCCCTCTCCGCTCTAAAAGGATGTACGCTTTGAGACTGCCATTGGTGAATGGGAATCCTCTTTTCTTTCACATAAATCCTGTCTATCCTATTTTTGGTCATTACTGTCTGTAATGGTCTTTATAACCTGAATAAAAGAGAATCTCATGTGTAACGGATGTGCATAGAGTAGCCAATAAGTGTTAAAGAACATTAAATGAAAACATCGAATTAATGTTGGACAAACTTACTCGATAGATTGGAGGATCAAAGGATATACAATATTGTGGTATTTCCTTATACACAAACAAAACTGTTAATTTGTTAAAAATGTTTGCATCTAAGGTTTACTTGAAATTATTCTGGTTTTGACATAACTTATCCCACATGATTGATTTTTATTTATTTTTTTAGAATAAATAGCTTGAGTAGTGGTGTTACTCAAAAGTAGAAGGCATTCAGAAGTACAATTGAAGTACTAGAGTGTGTAACTCATTAAATCTCCTCTGAGTTAATCCATTTTATTTGAGATAAAGGCAGTGATCATTCCCTGCCAGAGGTCAGGGGTCAAAGATCATAATGTTAAACACGTATTGAACTACCTTTATCTGATCACAACCTGCTCTTTACTACAGCAAGTCCACATAATCTGGATTGAAGTCGTTAACTGTGGAAACTGAACTAAATACTTTCCCCACATTATCTTGCACAACAGGTCAGGACCAAAATGCCTAGGTACTGCATTTCAAACTTGCATATGCCCTAATAAGACCTAAAAATGTACTTGTGTGTTTAATTGTGCATTCCTAAAAATTACTTTTTCCCTTTTTGAAGTATTTTTGAAGTAAAAGCAGCCATTGCAAACCATCTTGCTACTGGATGGTAGAACTGGTAATAACAAAGGCTTAATACAATACAATGCTATTCAATTTACAATAGGCTGTTAGAGGACTACACTACCTTTTTTCCAAATACTCAATAAGCTTTATCCATAATCTAGTTTACTACTTGGTTCGCATTATTCAAGTTTACCAACTCCACTAGTCAGACGAGTTTGAATGTAATCTTTAGTTTTAGCCCTTTTCTTTTCTTTTCGCACCACCCTCTAGTTATTTGATTGACTTAAACAGCTGATATCAGTGGATGCTAGTGGATAGTAGTACTTATAAGCAGCACTATTCTGAGTACAACTTTCTAGAACTTTTCCTCTTCTGGTTTTCATCAGATCTAAACTATTTTTACACATTGAGCTTTGCCTGTATGAAGCATGCAGTTCATTTTGATTGCAGCCTCTCCAGTTAAAGCATGTGACTGAACCTCCTCTCCCTTTTTCCCTGTGGCTTGTCTGGTGTCATGAGCTGCTCTCTCTATCATACTGCCTCTTTTGTTTGGCTCGGGCTCTCTCTAGTGGCCATTCACTAAACTGCAGGCTTGAGTGGGCACTGTGGTGTTATTTTTCCCCTCTTGTCAAATGAAGCCAAAGTTCTAAATGTGCCGTGTTTTCCAGCAGCTCGTCACTCCAGACAGCAGAGCCCCTCTTCCCGCACCTCCCCAAAAACCAAACAGCACCTCAAAAGTCCTGCTGCCCTCAGAGGTAACAATTGTCCCAAATTCATGGCCTTATTTAAACGGTTTTATATGGGCAGGCAGAGCAGAAAGTGTGGTAGGTCTGTTTTTTCAGTTTGTTTTAGTGGATATGTCCTTCACAAAATCGTGTGTAGGGCAACAACTCCAACACAAATACCACAGAGCAAAATGACAAACATAGATTTGACAGTGGGAGACACCAGTATAAACATGTCCGCACACACACAAGCAGTACTCAGACTGATCACTGTCACAGCGTGGCTCTTCTGAAGCCTGTCTCTGTCTCTGTTCAGTCCCGCTCTCTTGTTGCTTTGGAGAAGAAGGAGATTTCAGTGAGTATTTTTATTATCACTGAGGGTTCAACTTTAACATTGTGCCTGTGGTCTTGCTCTTCATCAGTGAATTTTGCATCCTCCCATGTCAATATATCTGCATTGGAAGAATTGGTGTTACAGTCCCGTGCTGTTACTTTTGCATTTACTGTTTGTCCAGTTGTACTTGTTAAGGTGTTTCATTGTAATTTGAGTAGATTCTGAATCAAAGATTCTTTGTGTTGAATCAAAACGATTCAAAATGCTCAAACTTATATTTGACGTCATCCTTACTGCTATTTGCCTGAAAATAGAATATATATTATATTGTTTTGGGGTTTTCAATCATGGAAATGTATATTGCGTAATGCATTAAATCTTTGTAAACATCATTTCATGATTTTGGATTAGTGAATCATGATTGGAATAAATCATTTTGAATCGATTCTGGATTCAAATGTGACACCAAGAATCAGAATCAAATCGTTTGACCCTGAAAGATTCACACTACATCTTAGAATGTGGTAATTTGACAGCAGCCACATGTGGTGAATCTTCGTCAAATGTTTTGTTTTAGATTTAGATTTAGACCACAACAGCAGCTCAACTCTTAACTCTGCGCTAATGTCTGGTCTCTCCTCAGTCCCATCTCCAAGTAAACTGAGGACTCCTGCCACCCCATCACCCCTGGCCCTGAGGCAGCCTGTCAAAGCCACCTCCACCCCAAACTCTGCCTCCTCTACACCTACACGCTCCCTGGCCACGCCACGCTCTGGTCTGCCCCGCCCCAGTGCCCCAGCAGGGGGAGGAGGGATACCAGTGCCCCGCAGCAAACTGGTGCAGCCTGTACGCAGGTATGTCTGGCTCTGTTACCTACACAGAAAGAGAACAGCCGTAACACAATCTCTAAAGTAAAATTGTCCTTTGTAGATCTCTGCCTGCTCCTCGGACCTACACTGGGGAGAACTGGAGAGAAGGTTGTTACTGAGGTCGGCCAGCAGAGGGCGTCCCAGGCTTACCTTTACAACAGGAGGAAGACATCAAAACATGGCACTTTATCTTCCTCAGCATTTTTTACCAAGAGAAGAGAGAACAAATGTAAAGATGGACATTGGGGCCCTGTGCATTTTGGAGGAGGAGTCTGAGGTGCAGAAAAAACCTGGATCTGTCTCCTCTGTCACTGTCTCCTGCTCTTTCACCTCCCTCAGGTCGAGACAAATGCATTTCTCACATGTTTTTGTGTTTGATGGATGTTGGTGAGGTGATAGTCTCTATGGGTGCATCCTATTTCTCAAAACTTGTCTCCTCAATTCCTCAGCTGAAGGTCCCCTCAGCTGAGCAGTATCCTTTCATGTTTATCTTAGTATGCCTGAACAATCAATCAAAACACTTACAGTAACAAGGTCTAAGGTTAGTTTCCTGGTCTGGATGGGGGATTTCAAGGTTAATTCAGCTGACCACACTTAGCTGGAGGGTCAAATTTATAAGACTGTGATAATAAAATATTGTTACTAAATCAGTTTTCATCAGATTACCCTGTCCTTTAGGCCTTACATACTCTAAATACTGTAGACTTAGAAAATGATAGTTTCATTTGCACCATATAAGTTGAAAATGCTATCATTGATAACTATGATAAATATTGCAATAACGAGACAAATATGCAGTGCTCAGGATTTTAAGATGCAATTTTAGAGAAATAGGATTTGGCCATGACAACGCTGTGCAGGTGACGTGTCCCGTAATGTTTGGTGTCCCAGGAAATGAACAGCACCTCTGTGTGGCTACTACATGAGTGAGTACTCTTGTGAAATCTGCCAGATTGTATGCACAAATGTTTTTGGAAATTATTTATTCAAAATTATTTAAGATTCATATCAGTATTTGCTTTGATATTTCAATTGTTCCAACCTCAGCTGATTCTCCAAAGTCTTCTGTTTTGTGATCAGGGTTTAACATGCAAATTTACAGCCAAAGCCCTAGTGCATTTTATACCGACGTTTGCCAAAATACTAAAATACAAATTTAAGAGTTTAGTAAGTTTTTTCATCTTATGTCATAACAAAATAATCAAAACTATATCAAAATGAAGTATTTTATTTCTTCTCAAACCTGCTCAAACGTTGGATGTCTCTAGGTGAGGCACTGCAGGAGAATAGTGAGTTTTTATAACATTTAGTGAGGAAAAAAATCTTTATTCACCTTGTTATTCTGACTTAATCTGATTAGGAATTAGGAAGTACACATCATGCTCATTAAATGTATTAAAATAGGTACAGCTGTCTGGGTTGTGTTAAAAAACAGTCCTTAATCTTAACATTGAACAATTGTGAGACTATTAGTTCCTCCTGTTGTGCCTCCTCTTTATTCAGGTTTAATCCAGTTTTCTGTTGCCTATAGAAACAGGGTGCTTTGGCTTTACCTCTGGTGCCATGACGAAGGTGTGCCAGTGTAGGAGAGGGTGCTCTGAACTGAAGTGGTGGGTCCTATTATCGAACCAGTGCCTAATTTAACATTTGTATTATGTTTAACTCATTTATTTAGTTTGTCTTTATTTTGTGCCATGTTTCATTTTGAGTTGTTGCATCTGCTTGAATGATTTGCTTGCCTGCTTGATGTTAATATTGTATCGAAAAGAAAAAAAAACTTTATAATTGCTTTAAAACAAAAATATGCGCCTTTGTATTTATAACTACAGTACTTAAGCATCTGTAAATGAAGATATTTATTGAAGAGAGGTGCCTCTGTCAAAGTGTATTCAGTGGGAGCTGAAAGGAATGTGCAAAAAGACCACACCTTTTGTGTGACTGTTTTTGTTATTTTTTTATATCCACAAACATGAACTTCAGTTTCCCCTGTAAAATCACATTTCAAAATAAAAGTGGAAAAAAGTCTTCATTTGTTGTGTAATAATAATATAACATTTCTTTTTTTACTCTCTGCATAACAACATTTCTGAAATGACTTATCTGCATTATCCATTTAGGGTGCAGTGGGTTGAGCATTTGCTGACTGACCAAAGATGAAGTTGGCTGGTGAAAATACTTGAAGTGGCAGCTACTCCCACCATTTCTCCATCACAGTTTTCCTGGTCAGACTCAAAGAAGCATGTCTGTCATTCTGCACCTTTAACCCCTGACTGATGACTCATGATTACTCTGCAGGGTGAATTAAATTAGTAAAAGACAATTTTGTAACTGTTTGAAATCCATAGGGTAGTATTCAATTGGATCACTTCACCTATGTGTCAACGACACAACCGGTAAACTAATCTTTGGAGTACAGTATCCTACAGTATCCTACAGTTCTGGGCACAGGGCCAGTGGTTGTAGAGGGGGCGGGGGGAGGGAAGGGAAGGGGGTGTATGGCGTCATACTGTCTGGGTACTTCAGTGTTCGGGGGACACGCGCTCCGGGAACAGGACACCGGTGACGTCTGAGCACCCCGAAACACAAGTGAGGTCATTATGACCAACATGACGTGAGAGGGGAGGAAATGTGATTCAGTTTCTATCCATCATTTCACATTCTTTGCACACTGTCCCCTTGCGAACGGGTGCCAGTGACAAGATTATTAACAAGGAGTTGTTTTAAAAAAAAAAAAAAAAGAAAGAAAGAAAAGAAAATCGTATCGTCTATTGCTACAGATGAACTACGTCTAATTTGTATTACACCCTCGGGGCAATTTGTCATCAGTCTTGACACTGCCAGGCTTTTCCTTATATTAGTTTAAAGTGTGTGGTGTGCTGGAGGAGAGCTGTCCTGGGAGGAGTCGTGCGTAAAGCGCATCTGGAAGAAACGGCTCTTGGATAAAAGCAGCACGCGCAGTTTTCACAGCCACTGCACGAGGATAAAGAGGCGCGTGCTTAGTGGAGCTCGACAAACAGCCTCTGCCTCTTTTCTTTCTATGAAGATCTAAGTTTTTAAGTGTTGTCTTGACTGCGACTCATTTCCAAATGGAATGCTGTTAAATAATATTGATATTGGGAGTCTTCCTGAAGGAGTGGGAAGTCGCACGGGTGGTCAGTATAAAAGGACTGGTCGCTATTGATTGGCTCACCCTCGGGCTCGAGCTCCAAGTGTGCACAGCCCTCAAGCGATGCGCGCGTGCGTGGGAGCCAATCTGTGGCACGAGAGTGACTCACCGAGTGCCTTTAAACCCAGTGATGGCTCCGTCGCGTCCGGCGCGCACTGGACCTACAGTTTTTTATTAGGGATCGCGCGCCACTAGGAAGTCATTTTACGCACGAGTGCCTCCAGAGCATCCCGACTTTGGACAGAGACTCCTGTTGCGCAATGGACATCTCCAACGAGACCAGGACGGTGGGTTTCACAGACTTGATCATGATGCATGCTCAGGGGCGCACTGTGGCCCCAGAACCAGGGTCCGCGGCTGCACCGGTGGCTCTCAGCGCGGTGTTTGTGGAGCGGATTTTTGGGAGCGGCGCAGAAGTAAATCTGATGGCCGTGCTGCCAACTCTTGTTCCTCCCGGGATTCCTGCCTTCTGGGACTCTCCACTGAGCCATGGTATCAATGTGTTTGTGGGACTGGTGCTGTGCTTCACTATGTTGGGACTGGGATGCACGGTGGATGTGGCTCAGCTCGGGGAGCACGTGCGTAAACCCATCGGGGTACTTTTGGCGCTCGTGTGCCAATTTGTAATTATGCCGCTCGTGGCCTTTTTATTAGCACTTGCCTTCTCTCTGGACGATGTGGCGGCGATGGCCGTGCTGCTGTGCGGCTGCTGCCCCGGGGGCAACTTGTCCAACATCATGTCACTGCTCGCACATGGCGAGATGAACCTCAGGTAACACCTTGTCTCGTGAGAGTCTGGGCGCGCACGCGTGGCTCTCCTAACCATATAATCTTCTTTCTATGCAGCATCATCATGACCATCTCGTCAACACTGCTGGCGCTCGTGCTGATGCCATTGTGTCTGTGGATCTACAGCCGCGCGTGGATTAACACCCCCGTGGTGGACCTCATGCCCTTCGGGGCCATCATTCTGACACTGTGCAGCACCCTCATCCCCATAGGGCTAGGGGTCATGCTGAGATACCGACACACGCGCGTGGCAGATATGGTGCTCAAGGTAACCCTCAGAAGGTGGCAGATGTAGCTGGTCGTGTTCAAACCAGGGTTGGTTAAAGCTCCAAATGCGCAAAGGCGCACTGCGTAATTCTGTGACTCTCTGAGCGACATCAGTGACAGGAAACGCTCCTCCTTCAGCTCATAAAAGTCAGGGCCACTTTGCTCCCAGAGGACAGTGATCATTATCAACCGAGCTCTTAAGACTATCCAAAGACAACAATCTGTTAACCCTTTAGAAACCTTGGGGAACTAAAGACAGAAAAAAGCTTAATTTGGGGTATGGGTATGTATGTATGTATGTATGTATGTATGTATGTATGTATGTATGTATGTATGTATGTATGTATGTATGTATATATCGGCTCTTCACAGAACACATTAGAACTATCAGGTTCAATTCACTGTTTCACTCTGACACTACAAAATTGTGAGTTAGACCGAGCTAAACCTCCACTCCCAGAGCTGCTCTACTCAAGAGGCGCTGACTTCTGTAGACACGGCTACCTTTAGTTGAAGCTGAAGTTGCGTAAAGTCATAAGAGCTTATGATGTATATCTAAACATGTTCATGTGTTTTAGGCCTCTCTGTGGTCCCTGTTGGTCACCCTGATCCTGCTGTTCATTCTCACTGGAGCCATGCTGGGTCCAGAGCTTCTCTCCACTATCCCTATCTCCGTGTACATAGTGGCAATCCTGATGCCCGCGTGCGGGTACGCGGCAGGTTACGGCCTCGCGGTGCTCTTCAACCTGCCGCCCAACAGTCGCCGCGCGGTCTCTCTGGAGACTGGCTGCCAGAACGTGCAGCTGTGCACCGCGATCCTGAAGCTGGCCTTCCCGCCGCAGCTCATGGGCGGTATGTACATGTTCCCGCTGCTCTACGCGCTGTTCCAGGCCGCGGAGGCAGGGGTCTTTATACTGGGCTACAGGTTTTACAGGAAAGAGGTCCTGCAGAAACCAGAGCCCATGAAGGACAGTGAGGACACAGACATTACCTACCAGAGATTTACCGACGAGGATTTTGACTCCTCCTACGGGGCAGTCACAGTGAGCGATCCCAACAGTATAAGCCTGGACCCGTGCCCCCCGGACCCCACCCCAGTGTGAGCTGCTCCTCCTCCTCCTCTGAGGAGGTCTACACTGAAGGACTATACACCATTCAGAGATCTAGTGGTTTTCTGGATGTTAACACAACTGCACTTTGCATGCTCATAAAGGTGCTTCATTGGCTGATTCATTCAGTGTCGCTCACTTTAAAGTAAAGTTTTGCTGCTTCATAGGTCTGTGTATCTGCTGGCACACCGAAGGCCCCACTTTGTAGGCCCCATTTGTCCTGGCTAGGGATAGTTTGCTCCATATCTCTCTACCTCTTTCTCCATTTTGAGATTGGGCACCAAGAATCAGGTGGCCTCTTGTTCATTCATAATGCTGGTGGCGTAATTTAACCTAGCCTAAATCTCTATACATGTTGCAAATATAATGTGGCAAAGGTCTCTTCATTCATGTTTGACACATATGGACCAAATGCAGCATAAGCTTTACTGTTGCCAAAAGCCATACATCTAGTATCAGGATTTTCAACCAAGCAGTGCCAAGTCATCATGTGCTAAAAGTATAATGTACAAATGTATAAAGTAAATACATGTATGTAATAAATCCATATGGAGCGTAAACGCGTGTGTTGGTGTTGTTGTTGATGTGCTGCTCTTTTTATGGTGATATCAAAGTGTCACACCTGTGCCTCATTACGTCCAGTGGTGCTAAGGCTCAGTCTAATTTATATAAACGGAGCACGTGCGAGCTCGGGTTGGTAACAAAATGGCAGCGTATGGAGCTGATCCTTTAGACAACTATTTCTATTCATATAACCCCTACATTGGCAGATACCCCCGCACCAAAGACGCGTGGAAATATAAAAGTTACATATCATATGGCGACGCGGAAGCCTTCAACAACCAGCAGCGCGCGCAACTCAAGTCCATCCTGTCCCAAATTAACCCCAAACTCACGCCGAGACTGCGCAAGGCCAACACCAAGGACGTGGCGGTGCAGGTGAACCCGAAGAGGACCGCCTCGGTGCAGTGCTCTATCGGGCCGCGGACTCTCCTCGCCCTGAAGCGGGACCTCCAGCGCCGGAAGAAAACTCCAGATCTTGGTTCTCCGAGCAGCAGTCTCGGCAGTCCCAAATTCCCCGATAATGTCCGATACCCCCGCACAATCGCTGTGTACTCCCCTGTCGCGTACCGGAGCGTCACGTCTTTCCTAGTGAACGAAAACAAAGAAGCTCTCGGAGAGACCCAAACTAACGAGCCATCTGATGACACTGACAAAGACAACAGCGAAGAAACGGAAGAGAATAACAACATAAATTCCACAGAACCGCGTGAAAAAACGGCCAAACCAAAACAGACAAAAAATGAAGAGGTTCAAACCACTCCCGACGGGTCAAAGGGCAAGACGCGCGTGCGCTTTCAGGTGAGAAAGTGGTGATACCAGAGACTGGGGAACCAGTGAGTCCAAATATGCACAACATCCAGTATGGAAAACGAACTGCAGGGAAGATGGTGGCATCACCACTCCTTAATACAACCACAGATGCAACCTGTGTCAGTCATGACTGATGAATATTAGATACTTGCTGGTCAGTTCCAGACTTCTAAAGTGGTCCACATTTGAACACACTCCTTGTTGTAAGATAATGTAATGGATTGAAAAACATTTAACAGGAGGTAGAAATGCACTTTGGTTTAGAGGGTGAACAGAATGGGTTTGTCACAATAGCATACTTCTATATTATATCAAGGTGTTATGTGGAAAATTGGATTTAGCCTTGATGGAGCGGCCTTCCTAGTCTCAGCATCATGATGCAGTAGCCATTATTACATGTAGGCTACTTGATCTTGGTTTAATCCAGACCACAAAGCGTTAACCGTGCTCCTTTTCAGTTTCTTGAACAGAAGTACGGATATTACCACTGCAGAGATTGTAATCTGCGATGGGAGAGTGCGTATGTGTGGTGTGTCCAGGGCACAAACAAGGTAAGATAAGATTGAGCATGACAGCAAAATCCCCATATGACCCCTGTCCACTAAAATGTTTATACTTTTCAGGTTTACTTCAAACAGTATTGTAGGAAGTGCCAAAAGGAGTTTAACCCATATCGTGTAGAGGACATCACATGTCACGTAAGGCTCTAGTCTCGTGTTCTGCTGCCTGTTTATATGAATGATAAAACGATAAGGGCTTTAATATCTTTTCAGAGCTGTAAGAAGGCCCGGTGCATCTGTGCAATAACCCCGCGGCACGTGGACCCGAAGCGGCCGCACAGACAGGACCTGTGCGGCAGGTGCAAAGGCAAAAGGCTCTCCTGCGACAGCACGTTCAGCTTCAAATACATCATATAGAAATACCCAACCTGCCCATTCATTCACATGTTGCATAAGACACGCGTTGGATCCTCCTTAATCGTGTATTTGCAGATGAAAAAAGCTTTATTTTTTTCCTTTGTTTGTGAATTAGATTTGTGATTCACGCCTGACATTTGGCAAATGTAATAAATGGGTATCTTGCACTCTGAAATGAGAAATGTTCATGTCTCCAAAAAGACCAATTACAAACAGTTGTATAATTAAGTACAGCTTATGTTGAGATCTGAAGAGATAACTCTAGACTCGTTTAAGTTGTCCTTACCTACTTGAGTTGCTTTAACTCACGTGGTGCTTGCCAAAATGGTTGAATGTGCTTAGGAAGTTATTTTCCTTATTGACCGGGACCAGTATCATTGTAAGCTATAAGGATCATTAAGGAAAGGAGCAATTATGCTTCCTTTCATGGCTCCTTCAGCATGGGAAGCTCAGGAGGATCCTAACCAGGGGTAGGACCACACCAGTGTGTTTTGATGTGTTTATTGCAGCTTTGCGCGCATTTCGTCACATTTTATAGAAACTAACTTTTAAACCACATGGCTAATTTGCATAACTATAAGCGCTGGGGGAAAAAAGCAGCTCCTCTGATGCAGTCAGCTTCTCTCGGACTAAAGGACACGACCCTGTTCAATCAAAGGTACATTTTTTCAGAGATTATACGTGTGCAGGTGGCAAAAATCTTGTTCGAGTCACTCCATATTACACCAATAAGTATCACACAGGGTACAGAGACCTCTCCAATAAATAATATTGAACCCCTAGTTTTGTGTCATTTTCGACCATGTACTGGTGATGTATTGTGAAAAGTTTGAACTGGTCATACTTGTTTCCACCACATGCATTCACCATTTGTAAATGTGTATAGCTAAAAGTCAAGGATTAAAACACTCCAGTTTAATTTATTGATTAGATTTTATTTATCCAGAGAAGGCTGGTATGTGAGTGAAGAAAAAACTGTATAATGCACCTCTACATTAATGCATTTTCCAGGTAAATAATATTTTTCATTAAATAATTAAGAACAGCATTCATATGTACCAAACAAGCAGGAAAAAGCTCTCTGAGGAATGAGTACAGTGACTGACAACCATGTGCCGCAATTTCCAAAAAGCATTTGGGTTTAAATCCAGCAGTCACAGCAGCACTATGGGCCATTCTGAGCGCATTGACTTCAACATGACATTGGGGGCGCTGCAGTGGTCAACCTACAGAGACAATAACCCACGCCCCTCTCATAAAGCTTTACATAGATACGCCAGGGACAACAGAATCACAGTGGACAGAAGGAATGCATAGGACGTGGTTTGGTGATTTGGTGCAACTGGAGTCTATAGGCCACACACGATCCCACAAGGCTCATCCCAAATGTGCCATGACCCCACTGACCACGACCCCTTACCAAGACTGACGGGTGATTTCTGAAGTTTGTGGTTGGATGAAAAAACAAACTTAAAGACTTAAATGTGGTCTTGACTTCCTCTCATCTCGTTGGCTTTATAACAGTGCATTACACAAAATACAAGGGAAAAATACTGGTTTTACACTATACATTTCTAAAATATATACAGAGTAAAATAAGTTATGTTTCCATAATGAGTTGTAGCCAGTCTGTATGCATCAGTGCGTGTATATCAGAATATCTCATATACAGCGCACAGTGGGACTAAAGGCAGCTACTTATTTGGTTAAAGAGTGAGTTTTGCGTCAGGACCTGTTGCAGCAGATCCAAAGACCATACATTTCTCTTTTTACAATCCCTGAGGGTGGACATCCCCACAGGGTTCAATACATGTTAAATACCCTAACATTTACAACCTAGGATGTTAGCTCTAATAAAAATACATTTCTCAAAAAAATATTCTTGCAGCAATCTTCTCTTTCAAGCATGCTTTTGAAAACTAAAGATTCTCTGTTGGACTCCTGACGCCTCCTTTGGCCCTCTCCGCCTAAGGCCCCTCTTTGCCCATAGGTCTGTGAGAAGGCCCAGGGCAGATCCAGCAAAAACTAAAGGAGCTCAGGAGCAGTGCATCCTGTCTCCGTCTTTTCAGGCACTCTACAACGACTTATTGCAACTGAATTTTGCAGATTGGCTTGTCTGGGAAACAATATTAGCTCTACTTGCTCACATATGTAATGATACAGATGAAGAGTCAGTTATTCCCACACATCCTTTAGCCCTTTAAAGTGGAGTCCCTCCTGAGCCCTCTGCCTGTCCTGGGACAGGGCAGGGGGCTCTTAAGTTCAGTCCAGTGTCCTGAGGCCTACAGCCCAGTGCTGATGATGGTGGGTGGGGCCTGAGCCCGGCTTAGAGCCTCGCGGATCTGCAGGTTGAGCTCCATGAGGCGAGCGCTAGCCTGGGACAGGTCCCTGCTAGGCCCCACCACAGCCAGGCAACCCGTCTGGCCCAGCGTCTGGTGCCGAAAGTAAATGTGCAGAAGAGTCTGGACCGCGTTGTCCGACTCGTTTCCAAAGATATCGTTTGGCCACAAAGACCTAAAACACAGCACATGCTTAGACACTGTGTTATCATTCATGTGTGAAAGTGGCTCTTACCTGAAGACTTTGACCTGCGTGAGGGCGGAGCTGAAGTCCCGCGCTCTCAGGGTCTCGATCAAGGACTGGATGGCAGTCTCGGTACTGGTGTGAGCGTGGTCCGACATACACACGTCCTCCTGAACATCTGCCTCTAGCTCCGCCTCCTTCAGACAGCTCTCCAGCAGACTCAGCTCCTCAGACATGTTAGTAACCTTAAAAAAAAAAAAATCAGTTATATAAGGCTGTGCATAATGCAAGTGTCTATATGCAAACTATGGATCTGTCCAAGTAAAACAAAGGTCTTAATCCAATATCAACTGGAAGGGCCAACCTCTGTGCTCCTTCTGTCAAAGGACTTAATTTCATTAAACACTTTAATCTGATTAAATGTGCATCAAGATGCAAACAGGATGGCCATTGACTGCAGCAGATATACTAACCATTCTTAAAATGTAACTACTGCTTAGCAGGCCTACATTTACAAACGGCTTTGAAAAGATTAGGCAAAAAAAATCTAAACCCTTGGCCAGGTGTCTAATGCAATTTGCCCTTTATAGAAAAAAAAAGATTAAAAAGAAGAAGAAGAAGAAAGCTCTTTTATCTAGTTCCACTATTCCACTAGTTCCAGAGTACAAGTCAGACATCAGACATCACCATTTAAAACCTACAACCCTGAGTTTGGTCACAGTCTCACCTCGGCCTCTCTCTTAATGGTGTCCACACGGCTGATGAGTTTACAGTAGGCCTGAAACAGCAGCAGCAGCTGGAAGTGCAGTTTGTACAGACGCCGACACAGCTCCAGCTCCTACACACACACATACACACACATGAACAGGACTGAATCACTGTGATCACAGACAGGCCCTGGGTTAGACACATGACGAAATGAAAAGGTTAACATGCGTTCGAGATTGGGACCATGGAGTAAAAGGTGAGTCTCTATGGCGAATACAATTAGTCATGAAATCTCAATTAGTGCCTAGTCCATCACCGGGACGACTGCCACAGTATTATTCACCCTGTGAGTGTTTAACAGGACAAATGGCCCAAAGAAAAAAGCTTAGAAAAGATCTATGGAGATTACTCAAAGTTATGGTCCTAATCGAGCAGAATATTAAACACAAATGTATCATTATTGACACATAAACATGCAAAATGTAACGTTATTTCAATAAATAAATATATTAACAAGCATCTAGGACTGGGAAATACGCATTGTCAAACACAAATAAAGCATTTTACCTTTTCAATGTTCTATTCCCTATTTATATGGAGCTTTTATTTGCAAAGACTAAAAATTAAAAATCCACTGCAAAGTTACCTTAACCCCTAATGTTTCCCATCATTCTGACACATTCATGTTTGGTCTTATTCCCAGCCCTTAGTGCTCTCCTTTCTGAAACCGATATTAGGAACACAGCCAATAGAGCCGGCTTCAGGAAAGCTTGTGATTGACGGGGAAAATAGGTAAATGAGATGAAGTCAGGAAAAATAACAGACAAGTGGACAGAGCCTGAACTCAGTATGAAGCCATGAAAAAAAGTGATGGGATGGTGAACACTTTGGCCAAAATCACGATGATCAAGAGTCCATAATATGAGAACCACTTACTGCCAGATTTTCCATTTGCTAAGCAAGAGGGTGAGCAGGTCACAAACGCACAGGGAGAGAAAGATCAAGAATTAGTGCAAGCATTGACACAGCAGCAGAGACACAGAGACCAGAGTTACATCGTTTCAAACAGGTCAGAAAACACACAGGCTCATGTCAGGCTCAAGACAGGCTTTTACAGAAAGAAAGAAAGAAAAAAGCTAAAGAGAGAGATAGAAGAGCGAGAGGAGAGCGAGAGAAGAGAGGCAGGAAGAGAGGGAACAAAGTGCACTTTTTAAGCTTCTGAAAATATTAGGATCTTTTTTAAGAAAATCTTTGGTAGGTAATTATCTATAATGGAGAGAGAAAGATAGGCAATTTAGACCATGCAACTGCAAAATGAAGGTCCTATATTATGCTCCTCTGTTTTTCTGAAGTCCATACACCTTGGTTTTGATCATTTCAGTGCTCATATTGCTTCACTTTGTTGCATCTCTTGGTAACAAGTGAAACCAACACCTTTTGTTTAAATAATAGATCTTAAAGCTCTTTAAAAGGGGAAGTACAGTACATTACAGTGCTGCTTAGTGGATTAATATATATTTAGCATTCTATTAATGTCATATTTACAAAATTATTATTTTAGTTAGCAAGAAAATTTAAAAGGTGGACATTTTTCTACAACCTGGGAGCAGTTATGGTAGCCCTGGAGGGATATGTTCAGGACAAACCCAATGGACAGAAATGTTATTAGGTTTCCAAGTATGTAGAATTATAGAGGAGAATGTTTGAATGTATGTTTGAAATGTATTTGTTACATGAATATTTAATCATATCATAATTAGGTTCATTGAGTCTAGAGTCTTCATAATGGGGAGTAAGTGCATGCATAACAGATATTCGTTAACTGTATTTGTGTAAATGTGACTTACCTGTGCATGAGTGTTGGATTTTTGGCTACTATCTTTGTCCCCAAAAGTCTTCCTGCAGTTGTCCAGCCACTATAAGATTCACAGGAGAGTTAGAAAAACCAGGCTCACACTGTAGCAGCATTAGCAAAGAGGAAACATGGTCTGGTAACATGAAAACGTGAGGCCCAATCTGCAGTACAATGCGCTTGTATGTGCATGTCATAAGGCAGTGCAGGCAGAAGATTTAATAAGAGTGTTGTACTTAGCGAATTAAAACAGGCCTGGGATAGTATCTAGACCTCCAGGGACCACAGCAGTCTCATTCAATTAGCGCCCTGCATCCCAGAACCCTTTGCAATCTCATCTCTGGACCCCTCCCCCACCCCCACCCCCTCCCGCTCCTCTCCCCCAGCCCCTCCCTCACCTAAACCATAACTGATTTAGGAACAGTTATTTTTAGCCCGTCAGAGCGGAGCAGCAGGAGCGGTACAGACACAGTGAGCGCTGGTTTAATGTCCGCCTCAGTGAGAGACAGGATTATCTTCAGCATCATCTGCAATGATGTCACCAGGACATTGGGCAGTTTACAGAGCTCTGACACAGCACTCACACCACCACAGTGCAAACTCAGTAGTGCAGCAGAAAGGCTCCTCAGCACTATTGAAGACAGAATGTCAGCTCGGGGAAGAACCAGTGTCAGAATATGCACTTACGATCTCGGCTGCTTCTCTCTTGTTGTTGTATGTGTCCAGGTGCTCCTGCAGCTCCAGTACACTGAACTTCAGAGTCTCCAGCAGACCACAGGACACAAGCTGAAGAAGAGAAACACATTTAAAACATGGATCTCCCTAATGTCTCACACAGTCCATCTGTGACCTCACCGTCTCAGCATCCAGCAGCACTGTGGGGCACTGGGAGCGCGATGTCATCACCTCCAGAGAGCTGAGGAACTGGTTCCCCATCCGCTGCAGCCGCTCGCCCAGAAAACGCACTGATGCATGGGTGATGGAGCCAAACTTCCTCTGGATATTCTAAATTTAAAGACATTTGTGTTGTTGTTGTTGTGACAATTACAGTAATAAAGTATAATCTGTATGAATCCAGAGCCAGCTTCACCTGGAAGAGCCTGGAGAACACGTGGAAGGTGTACACTGCGCAGGAGCCATCGGAGTCGGACAACATCTGGTTGACATGACAACGCCAAGCGTCCTCCTCGTTGTCATAGGCGACAGGCTGGAAAGCGGCCAATATGGCTGACAGGAAGGGAGACGGAGGGGGAGAGGCCTGGACCTCGGGGAAACAGTCTGCGTCACCTTCATCCTGACTGAAACAGAGAAATGGGCCAATAAGCTACAGCAGCAGCTCCATGGTGCAGGCTGTGAGGCTGAAGGACCAATGTAAACAACAACACATGCTCCGGCAGTAAACAGTAAACAACAGTAAACAGAAGCCCTCTGCTCCTGCTCCCTCTCTGTGTCGCAGTCAGTAGCTCCACTGCAGTGCTCTGGCACAATAACAACATACAAGCTAACAGCAATTAGCATCATGAAAACCCCCACTCTCTCCTCACAGGAGATACTCACAGGCCGCTGGGACCAAAGAGCCTGAAGAAGCACACAGAGTACAGGTATCTGAAACCCGCGCTGCCCAGCTCCGCCGCTGACACCGTCTCTGTCCTCATGCTCACCCCAAGTATCGCCTCCTTCGCCTCCCTCTCTCCCCTCTCCTTCCTCTCTCCCCCCTCTCCTCTCTCTCTTCTTGCTCTCAGCTCCACTGTGCTGCAGCTAACACTAGCGCACTGCTCTCCCATCCCACACAGGACTGCAGCGCTCCTCGCTCGCACTGATTCATGCTCTGCTTTGGCTCAACATAAATACCAGACTATCACCGACTTTTCTCTCCCACTCATTAATCCTCATACACAGATAACATCCACCATTTTATGCCCCACATTTGAGCGGCTTAGCGGCGCTCACAGATGGACATCAATCATGTATGGCTTATCAAACAAAAGACTCAGCACGGTGATGTAACTGGAGGTTATGGTCAGCTGTCCTAAACCAGTCTTTATTACAGTCCTTATAATGTTTTAGGTTAAAGCCTGGATTTATAGCTGTCCTTCAAAAGTAAACGAACAACCTTGAGCAGTGAGTGTTTGGAGGTGGACCTGAGCCAGTGCTGGCCCACCTTCAGAGTGACAGCGGGAGCAGCGCCAAGAAGAAACATCTATTTTCACAGAAGCTCTTAACAAATGTACTCAGACTTTTAATTAGGAGCTGCACACATACACAACAATTACACAACAATAACACTGGACTGTGGAATACACAGCCCCAACACTTTGTAAGCATTTAAGCAAGCTAAATGTTTTTTCTCTCCAACATAAAGTAACTTATAGAATCACAATCAAATATAAACATCAAACCTTTATCGATTTTTAATTCAATCAATTCTTTTGTGAACAGTGTCACTTTTTGTTTTTATTCTATTGTTGTACTGGAACTAAGAAAGGCCAAACATGCACAGAGGTCAGTGATATCAGTTTTTCCAGATGATGTCATAGAAATAAAAAAAAAAATCAGCTAAAACATGTCTTTAAACGTATTAGTTGAAGTGTCACACAAAATGAAATGACAGAAGCTCTAACCATAGCACTAAACGGTAATATGCAACAAAAATAATATATCCTTGGACTCATCCAAAAGCCACAAGTAAGAGCAAAACACAGTAATTTCCACACAAAACCTCATCTCAAAAGCAGATGAATAAAGTTGAGAAATGAGCAGCATTTTGTGCCAAGCTTTACCTGGACATCCCGGAGAAATCGCCCCCCTCCTCTTCACAGCGCTCATCCAGCTCCTTCAGGGCCTGGGTCACATCATTCTCCCACATGGACCCACAGGTGCTGTCCGGGTCCTGCTCTGGGTCAGGTTTAGCCTCAGGAGGGAGGGGTAGCACTTCCTCACAAAGAGAGCCTGGGGGTGTATCTATGGCGGGCGGAGGAGGGGGGGCGGGGTCCAACTCCACCTGAGGGTCCAAGACTTCCTCCTGTACCTCCAAAATCTCCTCCAAGACCTCCAGTACCTCCTCCTGAACCTCTAGCACCTCTGGCATGTCCTCCTAAGGGACAAATGTCAGAATCAATACTGAGAAGACAATGAAATTTAACACTTTTATTTTCATTAAACATTGTAACAATCCTACCTGTGCATCATCCAAGTCCTGACCGTCTGACGGGTCATGGGGATCAGAGAGGTCCGGCGGCAGAGGAGGGGCGCTACAAAACCCTGTATCTTCACTGACGCTGCTGCTAAGCTCGTCCACCGCAGTCATACTCACAGCATCCTGTAACGCACGACCACAAGAGGGAGCTCAGCTTGAGTTGCCTTCTTGTCCATACTATGATGAATTAGAGGGGAAAAACTACAGTACCGGTCAAATATTAGGACGCGCTTTCCAAAACAAAGTTACTAAGACAGTGATTGTTTAACATATCTTATTTAAAGACATGGCAAGGAATGCAACTGGAGTAAACTGAAGGAACAGCAGCTGTGATATTTCAGATTTGGGCAAAACTACTCTGACTAATACAACTAATACAACCACTAATTCTGGACCAAAACAAGACTAATCTTGGTTTAGCTGGAATAACAAAACAGGACTAAAGCTAAAGTCCAAAATTTGTTAAAAAGGTAATATAAAAATCTTCCACACAGTACCATTACCAATCTACATACTATCAGTGGGACGAGTACCGCGGCTTGAAAACCACTGTTACACTGTTACTGAATGCATGCCGATACTGGTACGGCCTTTTTATAACATGCATATTTCTGTAAAACTGTGTCGATGGCTTGCCTCCAACTCCTAAAGTGAACCGAAGCACGTCGCACACTTCTTGAATGGTCCCATCTCCTCTATGAAACTGGCTATGGATATTACTTAGAATCACATATTCATGTCAATGACACTTGAGGGAGCCTAGTCAGCGCTTTGGATGTTACTTAACTTCCTGCGAAATGGTTTTTCACGCCACAGAACATGCTAACATCCCTCGTGAGAAATTTAAAATGAACAAGAATCAATAAACAGAGCCGATATCAATCTATCTAGAGACCAATATCAATCTATCAGGGACATGCCGTTACAAAGTTGACCCTTGTGCCAATAAAACTGACGAGGCTGAGAGGGTGTGCGTATCAGGGGTAGACTGGGATGAATTGCAGTCCATACTTGTTAGTAGTGATTTATGGCTAGTACTGTAAGTACCGGTATGTGTAAATACAACTTTGTCATAGTGGCATCTAACCACATCTTTAGCAGCGATGGTGAAGGGCTTCTAGTTTCTCTATATTAGACACTTGCCAATAGACTAATTCGAGTGCCCATATATATATATATATATATGCGAAATGACAGTTACCATCCAGGCACTAATTGCTTTATTCCTGGCTTGTTTTTTCTTGTTTTATTTTAATGCATTAGGGAGCGGAGTGTGGCAGGGGGCCAGTACATCAGCTCGAGACAGCCGGGATATTACAGAAAGCTTTTAGAAGTGGTCGTCGTTGGCCCGTCCTGGAGCGAATGAGGAAGAGTATTGATGGTTTTATCTGGGGCTCATTTCACTAAGAGCCGCTGCTGTGATGGAGCTGATGTCCTTCAATTGCTCTTGAGACCAATGCAACGATCTGAGTTCCTAGAAAGTTACATGTGTGTTTGAGAAATGTCATGATAAAGAAGAAGAGAACAGAAGCATAATATGTATAGTATAAAAGCTGCCTACTAAGGTTGCACAGTATGATGCAAATTTACTGTTTTCTAGTGCAATATACAGAACAGCTGAAGAATTTGACAATTATTCTGGATCAATTTGGAAGTCCTAAAGTGATTCTGACAAATATATAGAAATCTAAAATACACTGTTGTGGTAATAAGCAGGAAATTTGGTGTAAAATAAATAAAATTGCAGCCCAAATAAATAGTGCATTAAAATGTGTAATATCTCACAGTATCAACCAAAACCATAAGATATTAAGTGTAATTACACTACAACAAAGGATTTTTACTCATCTCCAGTGTCCCAAGCTAAAGAGATGCAAATCAGACAACATAAAAATGTTAGTATAAGCAATAAATGTCAGTAGCAGTGGATAGCAAGCTGGTCATGAATACATGTCAATAATATGTTAATACAGTATAAAATCAAATGGGTGGGTTTCATTAGCTGGAACACCAACGCTTTTCCATAGACTGACTATAGATACTCACACAGACTGGAGCTGAAGACAGGGATAGAGGAGACTGTCCTTTAGTTTACATGGAGGGTTTAGTGCCAATTGCCATTATTGGAGGTTAGCAGTGACAGCTGACCTGAGGTGAGTTTTTGTTTTTGCTCCCACAATCACAAGAGCAAGCCCCATCTGCTTCAACTATAAGATATAAGACACATCTAAGCCCAAAGCAAGCAGAGGCAGAAAGGTCCATAGAAACATAGGCATGATGTCCAAGCTAAAAGTGATGAAGATGCTATTTAAGTGAAGTCAACCACCAAATGCCATCCAGCCTCCTGTACATGCATCTAACCAAGCAGCAGTCCCCCACAAGCAGACAGAGAGAGAGAGAGACAGAGAGAGAGAGAGAGAAAGAGCTAGAAAGCACCCGAACACCACAGTTTATTGTTGCTCCCCAATGATCGCACCTCAGGCAGCTGGCTGCTGGTGCTGTCTGAGTGGGCCCTCTCCAACATGGGGCTATCCAGGTGAGGGAGGGAAGGGCTATCCAGGTGAGGGAGGGTGGGTAAAGAGGAGGGCAGGACAGGGTGCTCCTCTGTTAGGGCACTGCTGGATGATTCCTGCGACTGCTGGAGGGAGTCCACATGGTTGGAAGCCGTGTCATCTGTGGCTGAATCACTGTTGAGCTGCAAAGAGACCATATGTGCTTAGCTTTAGTGTGGATACAAAACCCGTGAATTATTTATTTATATCTATATCATAACCCTGTGAGGCGTGTATGCATTTAATATTGTTTTGTATAGACCAATATCACATGTACAAAGCAAACAGACTAATTTAGCACAATATAATCAAACCCTGGGGAGATGCAGGGAAAATTCAGTTTCTAATTTCATGTTACTTTCATTGTATTTTGTTTCTGGCACCAATTATTTCCAACTCTCCCTCGTAAGTGAACAAAAAGGCATTCAGTACACTATCCGTTTAGTGATTAGGGGATAAATATTTGGTAGCTGATGCATGTAAAGTTGTTTTTGAAACATACAAAACACCAATTTAAGTATTTTAGTCTAGTGATATATATTTGAAATGTCTCTCAAATCATGCCAATATCAAGTAATGTTAATGTCATTCATACATTCCATCAGTGCATTTAACCATTGAAATATTGCGTGTTATAGTCTAGTACAAAACATTCTACATGTGTCAAGGACTATTAAAAGCAAAAACTCATTCTCTCACCGTGCACTACCCACATCAAGAAGAGCAGAAAAAAGAAAATGTCCCCATTATACGAGGTAAAGCATTGAACTATGAACAGCTTTAGCAGGCAAACAAGCCAAGGTGTTAGAAAAAAGCAGCAAAACAATATCAGGGTTGTAAGGCAAGTCAAACTAATTTCTATTAGTAGTAGTAATGTTATTAGAAAAAGCTAAAGACATTTTACAACAATTATATAGATTATTATAATCTATATAATTATATAGATATTACCCTGAATGCTCCTCCCAAGTATCTTTCATTCAAAAATATTTCATATCTTTTTCTTCTGTAATCTTGCAGCAGTGTTTAGTTGGTTCGTCATCAGAGGAAAGCAGTTTGAGTTAGGAAGCATTCCAACTCATTTCAATAAAAGAATTATACGATCTGTCTGGCTGGCCAAGTCCGGATGAGATGAATTGCAAGTACAAAAATATATTCAAATGTGAATTAAAAGCTGGGAGATTTACTTAACTTACCCATGGGACAAAATTACTACAGAGAGGCACAGAATTATAGTAAGGCTTAAAGGCAAAAAGCTTGAGCTTAAATTTTGAAGGGGCGACTACCACCAGCGCAGAAGCAAGCGCCTAGCCGTGTGTGCAGAGAGGCAGCAGGTCCAGCTCAGCGCACACAAACACACACACCATGCTAGCGCACTGTGAGGGAAGCATGGTGGGCACGAGTGTTTCCTGTTGGGACTTACGAGACGAGAGCGGTTGAGAATCTGGCTAGCGCTCAGTACCTCCTCCTCTGACGATTCGTCCGTGTCTTCGTGGTTGGTGAGATTTAGGCTTGGCGTGCTGCCTGAATACTGGCACTCCTGCAGGGATGGAGTGTCCCCGTCTCCGTCCCCTTTGTCCATACTCTCCAAGGAGCGCCGCCGGACACCCCAGTTGAAGTTGTCCATGCTCTCTCCCTATAAACGCAAAGAAAGTTTAAGGATAACACAGTTAAAAGTATGCAGAAAGAAAGAAAGAAAGATAATCTTTAAAAACAAAGCACAAGACTAATGCACTGTAATGGTTCTCAAACTGTTAAATAGCAATTTAAATTTATTTGTACAATATCTAAAGTAGATCACCTGCCTTGTAGGGAATGCTGATTGACAAGCACATTTGGTGTGCAATTTGCACCAGATGCCCTTCCTGACACTGACTTCCTAATTTATAGAGCCTTTCTACAACCTTTGCTAGATTGGGGTTAAATAATCAAAGTAAATACATAGCATAGGCCTGTGCTAATATCATCTAGTATGAATATAAATAGCATTACAAAGTAAATATGTTCAAATTTCTTACAGGAGTAGTAAAAAGTTTGAGAACCACTGGGTCATGTCAATACAAAATCAAAATGGATCAGAACAACTGCACAAATGGATGACTTTGCCCACAACACATCTAAACACCAAACAGCTATAACTGGTACATTCACAACAGCATTTGTGGATTAAAATAATGTCACTATGGCACTGTGAGGAACATGGAACAGAAGCTCTCTGGACCACAGGCTTACCTGCAACTCCTTGTGGCAAGAGAAGACAGAGAACACAAATGTTATTGGACCAAAGACAGACAATATTAATAACTTTTCAACAGCTGGGGTCAGAACACTTAGAGGACAGAGACAAAATTGATAGTGATATGAGACGAGACAAGTGTATCCATGTGGTTAATACCAAATCAAATAAACATAAGTGGGCGTTTTAATCAAAAGTCTCACCTCGGCATCTTCCAGCTCCACATCCAGGAAGTCAAAGTCCTTGAAGACCCCAAACTGTTGCTCACTTCCTGTGTCTTCTCCCTGTACGTCCTCTTCTCTGACCACCTCCTCCACAGTCGGAATGAGGCTGGTCTGCTGGTCCCCGGTGTCAAGATCTTCATTGGACGAAAACACCACCTAAAACCAATGATAAAACTTTATATTGGTGATGTGTAAGTGTATATAAGAACTACAGCACACAAATAGAACATGTAAAAGGCAATGTTTTCAGTGTATATCATTTACAGAGACCTTGTCAGAGGCTTTAGAGTACGAGAGGAGTCTTACAGAAGGATTTTTCGCAACACCCGATTCAGGACCACACAGAGACAAGACATTCATGAGCTTCTCTCTAGTTCGTCTCTACAAAAAGGCAGAAAAAAAACTTTAATGAATATTTATATCATTATGCATTATACAGTTATGCATTATGATACAGTGTGCTGTGGTCTTTTTTATTTACCAATGATATAGTTAACTAGTTTAATTAATCTCATAATAGGTTTTCAATACCTACATACATTTCAGATCAACTGCACAACACTGTTCTTTCCATTTATAGATGAACAGTTTTATTATTAAATTTACATCAATCTTGATACAGACCACTGAAGACCATTAACACCCCCTAGTTGCAACATTAAAGACCCTACATTTCTATCTGTATAGTATGTGCTCAAACAGTGAGAAGCAGGTACCTGAGAGAGTTGAGGCCTCTTCCAGCTAACTGGCACCAGACCGTTTGAGTTAGATCCAGACGATGTGGACGAGGTACTTCTTGTTACTGCAATGACCTGAGGCTTTCCATTACGGCCCGCTGCTGTGCGCTGGTCCCCATACTTATGCCCTATGATTGGTGTCTGTCGGGTCAACACAAGGTTTAGTCATGCATCTGTAACCATGCTGTAACTTTCTAAAAATCTGATCCAGTCTTGGTCCAGATCTAGTTCAGCTTCTGCTGCTACAGTAAAAAGAATGAATACAAAAGTTACCTCTGAGATATCAAAGTGGAAGTCCAGAGTTTTCCCTGGCAACTCTTTGGACGAGTTATTAAAAATACGTGTGAAAGCGATTTCGGGAGAGCCACATGATTCGGTGCTGTAGGAACGTTGCACATCGTCAGGGACAACGAGGCTGGCAGAGCGGGACACCACCAGTTTCAGGATGTTTTGGGCCTCCTTCCAATGTGGGCTCTACAAAAACATATTACAAATGCATAATTAGGTGTGTCAGAAAATCTTCTTAAGAGAAATAATTTTATAAACAAGAAAAATTTAGGCTTAGCTTTAGCATTTATTAAGTTATTTACTTGGATTTTCTGTCATGGACCAAAATAATAGTCACCAAACCATTTTTTATTTTTCCATGGAGTAGACCAAAATATGTTGTTTTTTGCAATTTTTTGCTGATGTGCCAGGATTTTTGTGTCAGACACCTCCCCTTAAACTTAACTAGCTACTACCACTATGGTTAGAAATGAGGAGATATCAAATATATGAAATGTAATGTGGTTGATAAATAGAGTTAAGGCTGCATACAGGGGCACATGCTGCTGCACAAACACAAAGCAGTGCGGGTAAAGGATGGGCCCAGGGCACTATGGTATAACAGCTGTCAGATGGTACTGTGAGCAAGAGGCAAATAATGCACTAGGTCAGGGCTAAGAGGCTCTTATAAAGAGATGTGCATCCATCAAAAGGACCCTTAACAATAGCCCTGGAAAAGAGAGTGTGGCCTTTCATGTTGTCCGCTTTTCTACATGACATTAGCCATTAAATCAAAGAGTATGGGGGGAGTATGGGGAGTATATCATATAACAAAAGTTAAAATTGAAATTTTTTTCAACAATATCATATTTATTCGTATCAATCATCATTAATTGTGTGTTTTTTTTTTGTTATGGCGCAAAGCCAGGATATGGGCACAACTGTCCTTAGTACACACACTGTCTTACCTGGACATATTTGCCAATGATCTTCATGATTTCCAGGTTAAACTGTTTGACAGGGGCTGCTGACAGCTCAATATAATTCAGCAGGCTGTAGATGATCTGTAAAAGCGACTGTTGCATGCTGGGAAGACCCTTCTCCAGCAACTGTAAGAAAAAATGTCAAATTATGTTTTTCTTCCTGGAACTTTCTGACCAAATTCACTCTGGGTTTAGCCTAGATTTAATCAGGTCCTGTCTTGGTTCAGGCCTGGAACAGTGAAAGTTATAGTCCTGTTTCAGTCAGAATTGCCCTGTTCTGTTTCGAGTATAATTATACAATACATACATACATACGTTCTCACAAGAATGTTTAAAAAAAACTGCAAATCACTGAAGCCTGCTATCCCCTATTAAATAAACAGTAATATTAAACGTCTAATGTGCGCTCACCTCAGCTAAATAAGTAACAAGATTCAGGGTTATGTCGGCAAAGGCCATGTGGAGGTAGCGGCAGACCACGTTGATCCAGTTGGTGCAGTCCCGAGAGTAGTTTTGTTTCCTATAGAGCGTCATCATGTGCGCCAGATTGGCCAAAGCATCAGACTTCTCATCTGTGCAAACCTTGGCTATTCTATCAGCCGTGTCCTTGCAAAAGGGAGTCGGGCTGTCAAAGTGCTGAATGAGGTGTGGCAGGAGGCACAAAATATTTAATGGGAAACCTGAAAAAAGACAGTACATTAGTTTATGTGTACAAAGGATGTGATATTGTGTGGCTATACAATGCTGAATGTGATGTTGGCGGTTTAATTTTAAACTTTTTAAGTCATATTTATTGATAACTAAATGACAAATTTATTCCTCATAAGACATTTTATATATATATGTATGTGTATGTGTGTGTGTGTGTGTGTGTGTATGAAATATTTACTATTGTTGACATTTCATAGTGACAACAATTTAGTCTGCAAAAAAGTCCCTAATTATAAGCACTTAAACAAGCAACTTTGTTTTTGTTCTTGTAATTTTAAAGTTTTAAGATTACAGTAATTTAGTGGTTTCAGCATCCAGGATTCCTAGAACTGTAATTACATTCATAGCTCTCATTTTTCTTCAATAAAGAGATATTCTAACATGTTTACATGTGCAAGCAACTAAAATAGTCAAAATGTAGTGCTTTCTTTATCATCTCACCTGCTCCTTGCGAGGGGTCCACCAGCGTGTGCCTGGACACACTGATGAGTTTGCTGAGCAGGTGGATGGTGAGCTCCTGAGTGGATGCAGAGGTGAAGCCCTTTAAGAAGAGCTGCAGGAGTCCAGGGAAACTGTACCACTTAAGTTTGGCCAGAACCCTCTCCAAACGCTCCCTGCTCTCGGCTTTATCCAGAGGCAGATGTCCCAGGAGCTTGTTGAGTAAGCGCAGGGCCAGAAGGTACTCAAATTCATAGTCTGACTCCAGCAGAGACGTGGCTATCCAGAACATTGTGGCCAGCAGATTTGAAGGGTCAACAGTCGGCATAGAGTCCACAGTGGGACCCCCTCCACCACCCTCACGTAAAGACGATAAGCTCCGAGTTCGTGCAAGATTTCCGTGGCTTCCACTGAGGCGATCAGCAACATCTAGTGTGTTACTTCGCCGCTTGTCGCCTTTTCGTTCTCCCATCAGGCTGGTGCGGAGAGAATTACTGCGGGCATGAACATAACTATACAGACCACCGGAGTTCAAGTTCAGCTGGCCCGTACTCTTCCGGTTTGCAGCGAATTTGGGCCCAAGCAAGTGCTCACGTGTGGGCGTCCTGCAAGTGTAACAGAAAATAATTTGTCAAGGGTAATTTATGCATCTATCACTGTTATTACTTTTACTACAAATGTGCCAAACTGAGTGAGGACTTACTGTGCTAAAGCAGTGAGGAGGTCATAATTCTTGAGTGTGTCTGCAAGTGTGTCGATGCCTGCCTCCAGAGTAAGCAGCAGTTCAATGACAAAGCCCTAAGGACGAGAGCAGTGAGTTAAAACACAACGAGAACAGGTTGTGTATATCTTCACCTTATAGATATTTGGTCAATAATAGTTTAGATCTATTTCATTATTATTATAAAGTCAATAACAGTGGATAAACAATAACTGCATCAAACAATTGGCAAACCCAAGTACTTCAGTGCCCCCTGACTGAAACATGTGTGTAGTCCTCACCTGCGCCTCCTCTCCCGGGTCTCCTACAGTCTCTACCAGTCGAGACAAAATGTCAGAGAGTGTAGCAGGGGTCAGAGGTTGTTTGAGGGCTCTGAAAATCTGAAATGAGCGTCCGGCATAGTGACGGGATGAACAAGACAAAGCTGTTTGTAAAGCCACTTCACTCAGCAATGACTCCAGTTGGTCACCTAAAACACAGAGTAAAATGAAGGTTGAAAGAAGAACACAAAATATAATGACTGGTGATATTTTAAGTACTGACAAAATAAGATATAAATTTGCTTTTTACCTGACTGGGAATGCTTAAAGACAGTAACAACATGTCTGGCAAAAATACTGAGTTGATCAGCACTTTTGATATTGGGGTTCTTTGGGGAGACATCTTCATGATTCCACAATGGACCACGTTTCCTAAAGAAAAAATACTGTTAATTCATTTTGGCTCATTTTTGATTGTATTAGTGTTAAAAGACACTACACATTGCTTGGATTTTGGAGCGTCATCATATTTATTTTTCACATCATTGACAATTTTGAAATCTTGAAGTCACACTACTTTTACTTAAGCTACCAATTTCTGATCACACCACACTTCCTCAGCATACCTGTTTTATTAATAGCAAATAACAAGTAGCAAACCCAAACCCAAACTCAAAACCATGCAATGTAAAAATACCAAATCCATTTAGACATTGCTGGAGGCAGGGAATGAAATGGCAAAGATGATAAGTAAAATTAAATTTGATTTGTTATTAGTGTTCATCCATCAAAATAGTATTCTGACCTTGTTGTAATGAATTCGATGAGAGCTTTGACTTTCTCATCCTGTTCAGCTGTAGCGTTTACTTCACTGAGGAATGAAGGAGACAGTTGGGACAGAGCGCTTGACCCGGCTCCGAGACTGATACTGGAGGAGGTGGAACTGGTGCTGAGGCCAGAGTCAGTCATCGGGGACGGGTGACAGTCAACTGGTAATGAGTCCTGCACTCCTGTGGGACAAAACAAAGTATTTGGTGGAAGTAGCTATAGCAGTAGCATGGGTTGAGTCGTAAGAAAACAGGAGGCATGCAAGTAAAAACTTGAATTTATACAAAGACAGAAATATGCTTATTCATGAAGGTTTTAAACAATCAGGATGAAGCCAAGTCATGACCAATCCAATCCTTCACTGATTCTTTACTGCCACCCAATGCTCTACATTGGTAGTGCAAGTTTTACATTCACAAATTTGTCACATGAAAGGTTTTTTTCTCTGTGATCTGAACACAATGTATTCAGGGTTGACAAGCACAAAGTAAACTATTAATCTATAACAACTACACCTTGAGGACAATGCATTAGATGATGCGTGAATGGATTTAAATCATTTGCAGTAGTTTAAAAATAGTTAAAAAATCTGTTCTCTAAACTGTGTTTTGATTAAATCATAATTTTAATTATACAGAGAAAAAGAGTAATCGTATCAAACTTGTCTTCACTGACCAGTGAGATTATACTCTGGAGGAGCAGGTTTCACAGTCAAGACTCGAGGCTCATTGAACTCCCGGTTTCGTAGAAGCACCATTGCCACAGACTGAACGCTGCTGTTGGCCCCCTGAACCACGAGAAGATGAAGGAGCAGACGCTTGCAGTGCTCATACACCTCTGGGTGCTGATGATCAAAACCTGAATGAAAATAAGAGATAGGATTAACGGAATGGAGGGGAAAAAAAGAAATTTAAAATATATCTAAAAGTGTCATTTTACCAATAAAAATGGCATGAAGCAAAAGGTGCAGGTATGCGCTCCATTCCACTTTGACACCGTGGTCCACAATGAGGTCTGTCAGTAGGATGACCGCAATATTACATCTATGAAAACACAAAAAGACAATTTATTTGGCCTTTTAGGTTAAAATAATATATTTTTTAGAGATATAAGATATGTACATTACTTACCTGTGCAGTGTTACCGCAGGGGTGTTTGTCTCTGGGAGATAGTCAACCAAAGGAGACCAGCAGCCCCCAGTGGGAGGGAAAGGAAGTGGCTCAGGTTGGTTGTGCTCCATCACTTTCAAACGCCAGTTAGCATAAAGTGGCATCGAGTCGCCTATTAGGAGAATTTACATATTAGTCTTACAAGGTTTTAATAAATCTTACTTATTTATTAAGACAATAAGTATTCTGAAACAGAAGTTACGTTATGTGAGAGTGGAGAGACTGAGCAAACTGTTGGAGTTGAGAAGTGTGTGACCAAAACCCAAATTGCAACACTACATAACATACCAGTAAGGTTTAAAATAACAGTGACTGGTGTAAGAAGTAAGCCTTACTCTTTTCTTCCTCATAAGAGCCTCCAGAGCTGCTGCTGTAGCGAGACTCCAGACGGTGGTGCTGTCGAGTCAGATTACTGTTCAGACCTCCATAGATCTCCAAGTGGGTGTAACTATTAAGAGAAAAAAAATATGTTTAATTGATATGGGGATAGAGAATAGCTTACCATTTCCATTCAAATGCTTTTTTTATATATCACATGACCATACTGGATTTTTTGAGTTACTAAAAATATAAATAAGAATGCTAATAGCTTATACCTGTCCTCCATGTTTGAATCCTTTATCTTGCTGTCATGATGTCCATCTGTTCCTGGCACCATTGTATTGCTGCTGGATGTTGTTCCTGAAATCACACAGATAAAAAATCCACATAAGAGCAAAATACTAATGAAAGTATTTCTAAAAGGTCCAGTGGTGACTAACCTGAGGTGACTGAGGGGATCTTGTAGCTGGAGGTGATGCGGTAGTACGGAGGGTTGTCCATGTGAGTGACAGCTGAGCTCACCGGCTCCGTCAAGTCCAACTCACTCATCAACTCCTCCAGCAACTGCATAGTCTTATCTCTGCCCAAGTAAACCACCACACGTTTCACCTGCAGACAAAGACAAGACAGGATGATTAGCGTGGACAAAGCTGGTTAGAAAAGCACACAGCATGTACAAAAATTTACCTAAAGATTATTTTTTTAAAACTAGAATTAAATGAGACAATAAAAAATGCATGAAACACATAAATGAAACAGTATGCAACTTTTTAACACATCACATGGTGTAAATATGTAGTGACTTACATAGGGCAGGAGGCTGGGGTCACTGCTGACTCCTGACATACTGATGAGGAAGTGTAGAATGATTTTGAGGTTCTTTGGCCAACTGTCCGCTAATGTGATCCATACGTTCTCAATCTCTGACCAAGCAAACTCATCTCCATACTGCAAAAAGTACAATATACATTTGCATCTCACAGTAAACTGGAGGTTAGACCATTTTATTCTCATACTGTTAATAGCTACTTAAATATTTTGTATTTTATTATGAGTTTTGATTGATGTGTCAGTCCAAAATCTTTCACAATAAATCTATAGCTCAAATAAAAATAGGCAGCGTTCCAACAGCCCTAGACCAGTTTACCTTAGCGGTCATGAACATGAGGTTGTTGAGAACCATGGCTGTGGCACGTGGTGAGCCCCAGCCCTCTCCGTGGAGCCAGCGCCGGCTGTTCACCATCATGATCTCTGGGTCTTGAACTTCCTCGTCCTCCTCTCCACTCCCACAATCCTCTGAGCGTCGTGATGTAGGTTTAAAATCAACCAGCTCCACGTTGTTCATCCATGGCAGGAGGTAGTGCAACATTACCTGGCGACCACCAGGGTGTGCTGTCTGGATACGTTGGCTCACCTCTGCAAAGTAGGGATTTTGGTTTGAATTGACATTAAAAAATTAAGGAGCGTAGCGAAATAATTAGGGGCAGATGCCTTGAATGTTAAGTGACAGTTAAGGACTGGTGTAAAAGAATATGAATGGAGATCATATTTACTACTAAAATAGTAAACAGCCATCAACCAACCTGAGAAGATGGGTAGTGTGAGCTCTGGGTATGTCCTTGCTAGCTCCTCAGACAGCTGATAATAAGACACAGAGTAAAGGTGTGGCAGTGCTGATGGATGTGTCAGGATGCCATCTGTCCGCTGGATCTCCAACTTGTGAGCGTAACGAAAGAGCTTAGGCTCCAAAATCTGAAAAAACATACATATATAGTTATTAAAAACGAGAGAGTTTATGTCTGTAAACTAAGACACTTACCTGTAACAGCTGCATGGCCACCTCATAGATGTCCCTAGAGGAATCTGCTGCCTTGAACAGAATTAGGTTGAGCAGCACCACAGTGTCAAATTGATAATCCCTGAAAGAGGAACCATGAACATTTCAGAGACAAATAATGCAATAGCTCATTATGATTCAGATCATTTGGAAAGAAGAAGTACCTGTTGTGAAAAACATTAGCAATGGCCTTGAAACAGCCAGCGGCCACACGCCGTGAGCCGGTGTAACAGCGATCCACAGCCCAGAACATAAGGTTATTCTGGTCAGGGTTCAACTCCAACAGCAGCATGACGGCCTCACATCCCAACTGGTGAACCTGGAGAGAAGGCACCATTAAAACAACTGCAAACAAAAGAACTGCTCATGTCAATCACTAGCTCGTGCCTTACCTTCTTGTCCTGAGAATCCAGGATGTTATCAAGCCATTTGTAGAGGTAGCCATCAGATGAGAGCCCAACATTGTCTGCTACAGGCCCGCAGCACAACACCGCAGACATGGCCTATGAACCCAAAAAGCACTTAGGCATCTGCAGCTATTGAATATAATTGTCATACAAAGGATTTTGCATGCCTTTACCTTTAGTGCACAGTACTGGTGGCGGTTGATCTGCATATTTCGGTCACTGTATCGATCCAGAGGAGTAAACATGATGCTGAAGGGTCCCGCCCAATGACTGAACAACATGAAGAGACTGTGTCTCAGAGACTGCTGAGGGAAGATGGTCCTCCTTTGGTGAACTGAAACAAGAAAATAAATGCATTATTTTTCAAACTCAGAGCAACAGTATTTTAATGGTTGCACTTGACTGATACCTGGAACATTCTGGATGATGTTTGCCACGAGCGCACTGAAGTGACAGCGGATGTCCTTCAGAGTGTCTGAGTCCTTGTCGTTCTCCGCCTCGAGCAGCTGCCTCGTCAGATCAACATACTCAAGCAGCGTACTGTTTAGAGAGTGGCTCTCTGCGTCTAAGCCTCCACTTGCTCTGCAAAAAGAAATACAACAAAGGTTACTATATTTATCACAATAATCACTTTGAGGCTGATTAATTATGCCACTTTGGCCAAATGTGTTGCTGCTGACATACATCTGACTGATGACACCAGCATCTGCCAGAAGCTCAAATATCCGGACCAGCTGGACCCTGAGGATGTCACGGCGCCTGCGCCGCTTCATGTTCTGAAAATTATTCAGAAATCATTTCACCCTTTGAAAACAGGTGAGCACAATATAATGATTATAAACCAGACTTACTTCAGGCCTTCTGTCTAAAGCTTCTTTTATGATGGGATTCAGCTCCTCCATTAACTCTCTACAAGGACAAGGCAGTTCCAGTTTAAAGAAGACCCAATAAATAACACTTTCTACACCATGCTGGTTTATATTTCCTAGAATCATTTACCTGAATACCGTGGGGTTGGTCCTGCCAAGCCCCAACACCAGGGACTCTGTGATCTCCAAAGCGCTCTCAGAGCGCATTATGGAAACAATGTGTTTAAATAAGGAGGAAGGGGACGGAGTGCCAACAATCTGTGGTTAGAAAACAGAACAGGGAGAAGTGTGAGCTAAGTCTAAATGTTAAGACATGATCCAACAGTGCCACACTGTGTGTAAGGACCTTTGAGTCGTAGCTGAAGCCGCTGTCCGGCGTGGACGCCAGCGTCTCAGGCGGGGAGCAGCGGACGGAGCCGGAACTGGAGGAGGAGGAGCTGATGGAGCAGGAGGAGGCGGAGCTACAGCAGAGGATCAGATAGTTCCTCCAAAGACCCATAAATGAGTCACTGCTGTTCAGAGTGTTCACCTTCTTCGCATTAATGGGGCTGCTGCAAGAGGACAAGAGGAGGTCATAGATTATCACTGTCCAGGGCTATAAATCTATACTATGGCAAATACATACTTTATGTCGACTTGTGGGGACAGCAGCTGCAGGCGCGTGTATGCAAACATCCATGCATAGTTGAGGGCAGTGGGACAGTGTTTGGGCAGGTGCTCCTGCCGCAGGTAGCTGGAGAAGCTGATGACCCATGGGTCCTGGCCCTGAGTGACATGAGCAAACACCCAAATGTGGGAGGGGCTGATCACATCAAACTGATGGCTGATGGGAGATGAGGTCCATTCTGCTAAAGTCTGCAGATCAATGCCACTAGGGCAGTACAGGAGATTTGTCTAAGGAGATACAAGTACATAAGTTAACTTAAGTTATTTAGTTATTTAAAAGTTCTGTAGTTTAATCAAAGCTGTACCTGATCAGCTCCTGTGAGGTGAATGAAACTCTCCAACACTGGAGCGCTCAGTCTGTCCATCACATCAATGGCTAGCTCCTCATCTCCCTAAATGAAAGGCATAGTTAGTATTATAATTTTATAATCAAGTTATTTGATTTAAGTGGGTTTTGCCTAATGCATACCTTGCTGATGCCCAATGCCGTGTGCAGCGCTCTAACTTCTCTGAGAACATTTACAGCCAGTCGTCGTGTGGCTGGTCTACAGCTGCAGAGCACCACCAGGGCTAGCCCCTCCACCACATGCAACACTCCCAGGGGGTTGCTCCGGTCCAGGGAGAGGGAGTGTCTGTTGCCTGAGCTCTGTTAAAGACAGTGTATTTAAAAAAATCATCCCCCCTGTAATGGTCCAGAACAATATACATCCATGCATGTTTTTAAGGCACTTTAACTTGAAACACACCATTAAGGCTTTTATTATATTTTGTTCTGTTATTGTGAGCTAACAATACCTAAAAAGCTTGAGACCACACTTACTTTGACCTGAGCATCGTGGCCCTTATTGCCGCTCTGCACCGCTTGTTTCCACTGGCTGATGAGCTGTAGGAGCATCTTCACGGCGTTGTCCAAAAGAGAGGGGTGTACGTCTGTCACTTCCCGGACGATAAAGTACGCAAACCCTGAGAGCACGTCCTCACGCCACTCTGGGAAGTCCACCATGAGAGCCTGCAAAGTGGTGAAAGCAAGCCCACGAAGCTCCTCATCCATGTGTATAGTCAGCCTGGAGATGGAGACAAGACAATATTAAATGTACATAAGATGGCAGTAGAAAAGAGGAGGGTGTTTAAGTTAATGGGAACATTACTTTGCAAGGAGCTCAATGAGGTCTTGTCTGCTCATGCCATCTGGTATTAGTCGAGGAATGGCAGCAACACATGTGCGGAACAGATCGATCTTTGGTTTCCTCTCTCCCCTAAAAACAATGAAAAATATCAATCAGTAAATGATTATTACAAATACATTATTCAGGCTCAATGTGGCCTAATAGGTTCAGCGTATGTGACATCATTACGTTCTAAAGAGCCTACTATTGAAATTTGAGATGGAGGACTGGTCAGAGTGCTGTAGTGGAATTTATCTTTTAAACTAGTTTAAGTTTAGTATCTCTGTACCAGTTAATGTAATATTGAAAGGCATTTACAAAGATCAACCAAAACAATTAAAAAGAGGCAGCATTCTAAAATCCTGGCATCATTGTTGTCCATTGACAGGACTTTCACCTGCCAGTGGTGATACAGAATAGAAAAATAAGGCTATTTTCTTAAATACTACTTAAATAAATAATAATTTCATCTCATGGAAGAAAAATAATATGAGATTTACATACATTTAAATAAATAGGCATGCTATTTTTATAATACAATAGGGTTCTTAACCCTTCATGAGTCTACATACGTGATCATGTCCTCAGGCTCCTTGTTGGACAGCTGGACACTGGTCATACTCATAGAGCGCCCCACTTCTTTGTCCAGATGTCTCAGGATGTTGTCCAAGGCCTTTCTGACTTGAGGGTAGTAAAGTGACATCCCTGCAAAGACACGCCAGTTATCAAACTTAAATACTATCAATATATGTGTGTGTGTGTGTGTGTGTGTGTGTGTATATATATATATATATATATATATATATATATATATATAAACTAACATGGCTATAACTCATCTTTCTGCATACCTATAACCTTTGCTTCTTCATCTGTAAGTGTGGTGTTGAGGAAGATCTTCTTGACCCTCAAAGTGTTACCCGATGGCATGATAATCCCAGTCGTGGGCATTGGGGGCTCTCCATCTTTCTGCTGTAAACTGTCTGCTATGACCAAGAAGGCTCGCAGACCTATATTCATTCTCTGCAAGGCAAAAGATAAGTGATGAGTGGAGGTAAATGAAAGATAATTATGATTTAAAAAGTTTAGACCTTTACCTCTGGATTGATGGTGAACGTTTTGTGAGACTTGCCCACACAGAGGAGATCATAGATAATCTCCTTCATTGCAAAGTCCAGTCTTTCCTGTGAGAAAACAAATTAAATCACTTAACTTGAGCAGAATAAAAAGTTTAAAAGCAATTGACAATAGCAGCCTACAGCTATACAGCCTTAAATATCAATGTGTTGTTCAAATTAAGCATTACACTTGCTCAATCCTAATAAAATAGTCACACAAAGCACAACATGTGGCACAAACCTGAGCTATAAACTGGATGATCTTGACAAAAATGTTGAGGGGAGTGTCTCTGGGCACCACACTTCGGGACCCTTTGGGGAAAAGTGCTGAAACGATGTTGACGAGTCGACTACAAAGTACGGTAAATTTTTTATGAGTACAAGAAACATTAATTTGTTACTAGATATTTCAACTGTCACAAATAATAATTAATAACCCACGTCTGTGTGACTGTGTTGCTTTCACACTTGATCCTGATGATGTAAACCCACAGCAGTCTGTAGAGTGACTCTAGTGCTACACGCGACATTTTGGGGTCTTTGTTCTGGAAACAAGATAAAAAATTTGTGAGAGGCTAGATCTGAGTACAAAGTCAAATACTCACCTGTGTACAATCACCATTTCAGCATTTCATTTTGCGACATTCAATCATGTACCACACACACAATGTTTACAATGTAGCTACTGAATCAGCAGTGAGGATAGTCCAGCATGTTATATGTGCACAATATTGCCACCAAATGCATTTTTCTGGAGAAATGAATGTGAGTAGAATCATAACAATTCAAAACAAAATGTTTAAATAAACTGACAAAATACATAAATTAGGTCCAAAACATCTTATGAAAGAAGTCCAGTTAATTAAATCCCGTCAGTGAGGTAACAAACAGTCTTCTAACAATTACAACACACCACAACACAGCACCAAACTACAGAGTAAATCTATGCTTCAACATAGCAGTGACATTAGCATCTAGAATAACTGATTCATAGCACTATACAGCATTATGTATGAATGGGAACTTTACTACTACAACACACATCAAGTACATATGTCTAATTTAAAGATGCACTGTGTAACCTTTCTGGTGGAGATCCGCCAGCTTCATTTCCTCATGGACAAGTTATTGCTTTTCCTTGAATATTTCACAGGATATCATTAAAGATATCTATCTCCAAGGATACAAGCAGATAATGCCACTAGGTCAAGTTATAGATCTGATCACAGTTAGGAAACATGTTTTTCAAAGCATTTTTGAGCAAAGAAAATCACAAAAAATTCAAGACATTTCCATGAAGGCAAGCATGTGGCAGACCCCCCTATAAGAAAAGTTAGAGTGCCCATTTAACACTATAAATTAAAGCTGCAATTATTTATCTTGTATAGCAACATCAGGTCAATCTTCCCCAAATTCACTTAAATATACAAAAAAGGGAACTGACTGAATCACCAAAAACACAACCAAATAAACCACAAAACTACGGCAGTGCAACCAGCTACTATAGTCAGCATATTCTCTTCCACAACAAACAGAGTCATCTACTATCCATGGAGCACAGAGGCAGGGCTGATCCTAGTCCTGATCATTTGACCTAAGGGAACAGCCAGGCACCTCACGGACACCAAAAAAAAACTCACCTGCAGCGTCTCAATCTGCTTTCGGATGCTGTTGTTAGAAGGTATCTGGAGCAAGTCAATGCAAGAAAAAAGATCAAATGACAGAAGACAAAGGACGTAGGGAGGTGGACAAATTCAAGTTAAAAACACACAAAAATATAAAATTATTTGGCGTGAGAAAAGGGCTAACTATGGTCTTGGAAGTGTAAAGAAATGTCTTTAACATGCCACCACTGGAAATTAGTGGATTTAGGTGGCATGAGACAACTACATTTGGTAAGCAGCATTTTAACTATGTGAGTGTTAGTCAGGTGATAAACAATACGGGTGTGTGAATGAGGCTGATAAATGAAAACACACTGTAGACACAAGAGACAAGGACAGAAAGCTGAAGAAAAGGAAATCAAAATGTAACCGAAATCAGAGCTGATACGCAGCACCACCAGTCGATTTGGAACCACAAAGAATACCATAACATTTTACCATGTGGGGATCAAGCTGAAAATGTTATGTCATTTCACATTTATGGCGCACCATTTAATTGCATAATTTTCTATCAGACAAATCCATCTCCAGACTCATAATTTTTATTCTAATGTTAATATTGTATTTGCTTTTTTTTTTTTACAGTGTGAATCTCTTCTCTCCAATTGTAAAGTATAATTGTACATAATGACATAAGCCAATTAAAGCAGATCCACCATATGGTTAAAACAAAATCAACACTTAACCCTGAGCTGCTGCAATCATTACTTAACAACAGTCTCACAAGCCCACAACACGATTTTGAAATTCACCGCGGATTGTTTAAAAATGGAAAATGCTTATATGCAAGACAACCATTCAGAAAAGCTTCACAAACACGCAAATTTATCCACTCAATGATCAGAACCCGCGAGGGAAAAATCAATGCAGGATGGGAAGAGGGTCGTTAAGTCGCTCGGCCAGTCAATGGGTGATTCAATCAGTCAGTCTGGTTCATGATCAGGGAGAGAGCAGAGAGGCTTGATCCGGTTTAAAGGAGTCACAGACGGGAGCTGAACAGCACTTGATAAGATCATACTCAAAACAATATTGTCATTAATTGTTTTGGGAAATGGCTTTTCAGTTTTAGGGCCGTACTGCATCTAAATTGACTAGTGACTATACAACACTGAATAAATCCATTACGTATATTTTATTAAATTAAATTTGTGTTACTATGACAATTTCATACACTTCAACATAGAATTATAATACATAATTTATTAAATATAATAAAATGGCCATTTGCTTATTCTATTTCGAAATATAATATTGCAGATGGTTACATGTTTATTATTCTTACATAATGTAGCCAAAGTAGAAATTTAGAATTGTATTAAATAAAGCCATTATCTTTGTACATTCTTAATCCTGAGGATGTAATTTTTCCTCTTCAGACAACAAAAACTCCTTTATAACCTTATCTAATCAAGTGCTATTCCTGTTCAGATCTGGTGTTTTATAATGAGAGGGAAAGTACATCAAGATCATTGACAGAACCACGGAAAAACACTTTAATTTGTGTTTTTCATTGTGTCATTGCAATAAATCTGCCCCATTTAACACCAGTTATAAACATACGTTTGCAATCAGACTCGTTATGGAAACCAAAAATTTCATAATCGTCGTAAGACCTCTAAATCTTTCAAGTCATTTAGGAGCTACTTTTGGTAACACTTTAGAATAATAATTATACCCGCATCAGGGCTGCTTGCACACAGAAATGTATGTCAAAGTCAGAGGAAGTATAGACTTTTTAATTTCTTTGTAATGCTTTGTGACTGTGCGCTGGGGATGTTTTAAAAGTCAGGTTTTGTGAGATTGAATTATATTGGTGTTCATTCTAAGCATATATATATATTTTTAAATACACATCTTTTTCTAATTGAATGGAGCAATAATTGTAATCTTGATTAGAATTCTATTACCTGCACAGCCATCTATCATTTGAATGTTATATAGACCTAGTTCAATAGTGTTATTATAAAGTGTTACCCAGACCTAAACCGTGGCCATGATTGCCCATCATTTGAACAGAGGTAAATGTTCGGAGGTACCTTAAGGTGTGAGAGGCAGTTCTGGAGGAAAATGTGCCAGTTGTTGAGAAAGAACTGCTTCTGACTGACACACAGCAGACAAGTCACCAGAGGATACAGAGCCTGTAAGAGAATATAAAATATTTGATAAAAAAAAACCAACAATAAAAAAAACAAAAAAAAAACAAAACAGGAATTCAGGTATCGAGGCTAATGTGTTATGGTTGAGTAAAGGAGGGCTCAGGAAAAAAAGTCCTACCAAGGAATGCTTTTTCCGAGAGCTAAGGTCAAACGTCGTCTGATAAAGCATCTCCACAAAATTTTTTAGACATGGTACATTCACTTCATTTTTCACCGCCTGGGAATGAAAGATACACTTAACAAGCTCATTCAGATTCAGTATGATAACAGTTCAACTAGATATTTGTCATTTCTCACAGCAGCCACAGGGATGAGGATCTCGACGAAAAGGCCGGCCAATGCGTGCTTGATATCCTTATCCTTGACCTCCAGGAAATACTGAGCACACTCCTGAAAGCAAAACATCAAAAGATACAAATGTTCAGAATTGAATATGACATTAAAATGACAACGTATAATTCAAATTTTGGAAGCAACCAAATATTTAGATGAGAGAAAACAAAATAATAATAATAATAATAATAATAATATAATATAATATAATAATAATAATAATAATAAGAAGAAGAAGAAGAAGAAGAAACCTGCATCTAAAAACTAAACTTGTCATCATGTTACAAAAAATATTCAAGATGAAGTGTATCACATACTAAAAGTTGAAGCAGTTGTTTCACTGTAATTATAATTATTAAAATGTTTCTTTTCAGAATAGAGAAATTTCAACCTTGTGACAAGCCTATGGGCCACCAGTGTAAATAGAGAACAATGAGATGTCTAGCATGACGAACAGCTGTACATGGTATATCTGTTACAGAAGACCTATCATAACCAAATGGACATGGACATAGACAATCTTCAGTAAAATTTAATTCTGCCTTCAGTTTTAAACTTATAAAAGCAAGTAAGCAAACTCTCCTGTCTGACAAAAAGAACTGCTGATTCTAAATTCATGGACAAAGACATGGTTCCAAATTTTCTATAAACATTGTCTTTTCATTGTCTTTGAGTATCTTGAAAAGTCCCCAGAACATTTGTACTAGATGATCTTTTATCATTAAACATTTGAGCCAGTGATAAACCACACTTCTAAAACATAATACCCATAATCCATAATTCTCATACTATAAAGACATTGGGACAGAGAGCACAATGACAATACTGTACCTGCATAAACTGAAAAGACGCCTCAAAATCCTCCACGGGGTACATTTTCACCCTGAAGAACTTCATGCCCATGATGAGGCTGATGATGCTTTGGACGATGTAGGGGCTCTGCTCCTTCTGCCTCAGCTCCTTCAACTCTGTGATGAATTTCTTTCTCACAGCCTGAAATCTGAAAAAAAATTCCTTCCTTGATAAACCTCTAGTAGCCACACTGCCTTAAGTAAAAAAAACACACATTAAAAGGGGATAATATACTACAAATAAATGCCTAAAATCTAACTTTTGATGTATGGACAATTATTCTTTTTCCAGTGGTAATAAAATAAAAATGTATAAAGAATTGTGAGTGGCTACCAAATTTGCATGTATTGTTTTGTTTAGAAGAACATGGTATTCTTACTTTGACTGTGTAAGGACTCCGATGACCTCTGCATAAAGATCTGCAATGATGTGCACATTGCCAGTGTTGGGCCCACAGTAACTGTCAATAGATAAGATAAAAGGGATATTATTGAGTGTAAAAAAAAAAGTGCAATACCAGCCCAAGTACACATACATAAACACCACAATTAAACTGAGAAACAAGAGGGGGTACCTTTCTTAGCGTTTAGTTATTTTTTAGATTTTTATAATTATTTTTAGAGCCAATTCAATTGGGGTTTCTACTGGTTTCAATTGGTCTTCAACCTGTTTTTGTGATGTTTAATTCTGGTTTCACCCCAACATACACTGTGTGCATAATTATTAGGCAAGTTGTATTTATGAGGATTCATTTTATACTTGAAAAACTACAGTGCTCTTGGTCAATCCAAAATAAATAAACCTAAAATGTGAATATTTAAGAAAGTAAAAGTGAAGTTTTGGATTTCTTGAGAGACAATCTGCGTGCACAATTATTGGGCAATTATTAATGTGTAGAATTATTACTCAACTAAATGAAAATTAACATTTTTCATTCCCCCTTGGTTATTTTCATCTGTCAGAATAGTAAACAACTAAAAATTTACAAATAAACATTTTTGACATTTCAAAGGTTTTATGGACTAATGAAATGAGAGTGACTCTTGACGAACCAGATGAATGGGCCTGTGGCTGGATCAGTAATGGGCACAGAGCTCCACTTCATCTTAGACACCAGTAAGGTGGAGGTGGGGAACTGGTATGGGCTGGTATTATTAAAGATGAGCTTGTTGGACCTTTTGGATTGAAGGTGGACTCAAAAAGAACTACAAAACCTACAGCCAGTTTTTAGAAGATACTTTCTTCAAGCAATGGTAAAGGAAAAAGTCTGCATCTTTCAAGAGGACCATGTTTTTTATGCAGGACAATGCTCAATCGCATGCATTGAAGTACTCTACTGCATGGCTGAAGATGTTAATTTGTAAATTTTGAGTTGTTTACTAATCTGACAGATGAAAAAAAACAAGTGAGAATGGAAAATGTTCATTTTTCATTAATAGATGCCCAATAATTGTGCACACATACATTTTCTTCTCAGAAAGCCAAAACTTCACTTTTACTTTCTTAAATATTCAGGTTTGAGGTTTAGTAACATTTTGGATTGAGCTCAAGCACTGTAGTTGTTTAATTATAAAATTAATCCTCATAAATACTTACCTAACCATACCTAATAATTATGCACACAGTGAAGTGCTGGGCCTGGTTTGGTTTACATAAATATGGCTTAGGGTGTGTTCAAACTTGCACACACAACTCCTCAAAATTTGGACTGAACAAAGATAAAATCAGGACCAAACCAAGTCTACATCTGGACTAAACTGCTCTCAAACAAGTGCAACCTTAGTCTGATCTAGTCCTGGTTAAGTATAACAAAAGGTCTAGATAAATTTGTGCTTACTTTTGGTTTATTCTTACTTTCATCCTGGTTTAGGCATTTCAGCATATATTTAAGATTGTTTCAATCATCCAGGTCTTTCATCTGTCCATCAACCATGTGTGAGCAGAGCAGAATACTTACCCCTCTTTATGTTTAAAGTGCTTAAATGCCAGGTTCAGGACTTCATGTACTAAACCATCTGGCACTGGGTGAAGAGGAATCTGTGACGTAAACACACAGTCATTAGTCTTATTTGAAGCGCTGATAGCATTCTTGCTTTTTCTTAGCTCCCATTCATTACTTCCCCACAACAGTAGCAAAGCCAAGGACAACTTAGCTCCAGTCTCCAAGGACCGCTCCTAGTTCAAATGCATAGCTGGATTTGAACATTCAGAGGCTGCACAGTTGGATATTGGTGTACTGCCACCATGTTTGTTTACAGTGAGCTCTCAGGGGAGGACCTCACTAATAACTGCAATTCATTTACGGACTGTGACAATTTACAATAAAAACAACCACTACTACAACACACCTACGTAAACAAACTAAATACTGCAGGCTCTGTGACACATTTAGAGCAAGAAAATGGAACAATGTTAACAAATGGCATTTACCAGAATATAATAAATAAAACTGTGAAATTAAATGTAATTTACAGTAATAAATAAATAAATAAATAAATCATAATTTTGAAATAAGATACTGGTGTAATTTATTTTACTAGTAATGTATGACTAAAATACAAATCCAATATTACATGGTTATATTTTGTTTTGTATATTTTGCTATGTCTGCCATTTAAAGCTCACATCACAATGTGCTGAATAAGATAGTGTCACTATCAGGCTGCACAGGTGCAGGCCTCACACCAGGAAGTATTTATAGAACACAAAGTGCACTGTCACTTACCTGTTTTAGTACTTCAACAGAGACTAAACAAAATATGAAATCTATAGCTAAGTCTCTCCGTTCCAAAAGGTAATCTTTGTCACGATGCTGTTCATCTCTAAGAGAAGAAAACACATTATTTCAGCCATATCCACAGACTTGGAGAGAGTTGAGTGCATAGAGAGCCTCACCCTTTGGACTTGGTGCTGGCACGAGGCCTGTACTCATAAGACTCGTCTTCGGTGCCGCTCTGCCGCCGGTACCAGTCGAACAGTGTGCGCAGAAGGGAGGGCAAACAGTGCTCTGCTATTGAGCTCATAGAGCTTATTAACTGGAAACAAGATACACATAAGAGCATTAATATCTAACATAACTCCAAGCATCATTTTACATTTCTGATAATGGCATCTCTCTATAAATATAATGAATATATTTGTGATAGAATAATGTAAATGTAGAAGTATAGGATATATAATATCACACAAAATATCTCAAATGTAAAGGTTTAAAGAAACTGCTTGTACCAGATTTCATGCCATAAAGGTAATTTAGTTTTGCCCCAGTACAAGCATGTTGTTAAAACTGGTCAAACTGAGACCACTGTGAGCTGTCTGCTCTAATTATACAATGTTTTATTGTCCATGAACCAGGAAGTAATGCTGGTGCACTGTTAGCATGCTAGTACTTAGCAGTGGCATGACAGAAAAACTCTTAGTCTCTGCTGTGAAATGAAATTATAAATAAATTGCAATGAATAATTAAGAAACTAGGAATGCATGAGGAATAAGTTTGGATCACTGCAAATTGTTTAAAATGAACTAGCTCCGTTTTGACATTTTTAATGACACTAAAAGTCAGGTACAACACGTTCAAGGAACATGCTGACACCATTATTTAGACAATTAAACACTGCAATTAAACCTGTGACAAATCAGGCCTTTCACACGCCCCATTTACTTTGCAGTTATCTACTCCAGTGACCAGTGCTGCGCCTTGCCAGTGACGAATAAACATGGTCCATCAGGGGCTCTGTGCATCACACGAGAGGCACATAAAAGTCGATACATAAAACATGCGGTGTGTCCGGAGCATATCAACTATTAAACTGAACCTGCGATGTGTTTAAAGGAGAGGGGAGAATGATGGATGTAAGGCAGGAGGAGTTATGCAAGCGCTGCCTTTGCCCTTATGCTGCCAGACAGAGCTCGACCAGAGCCCAATGCTGATATAGTGCCTGGGATGACACAGCACTTCTCCCGTCCTCTCACTTTTGCACTCTCCAGACCCATTTGGGCTGCCTCACTCACAAAGGGACAGCTGGATCTATAGCGCCATCTCCTCATTGGCTTTGTATTGTGCTGAACAAAGCAGTATGCAGCATGCACTCCTTTTGTGTGGAGTTCTGTCTAACTGCCACAAATGAGGGGATGGGGACAGGAGACTGAGCAGGGGATTGATTGGGAGTAGCGGCACGGCTGAATAAGTTCAATACATGATGTACACCACAGTGTGATTTACCTGGTCAAATTGTGCATCTTCCCCTCTCTGAAGTGATCGGGAAAGGGGCTTCTCCTGTGAGGGTGAGGAAAAAAAAGACAATGAAGTCATAGTGTAGAGCAGGTAATATATGAAAAAGATAATTCTTATGGCAAATGCTACAAAAACCAATGAAATACCATTTGAAAGATGATGAGGGTATAATAGAGTGGTGAAGTGATGAAGAGGTCAATTCATCTAAATAGTTTATGTTGATGATAACATTTTCAAGGAAGTGAACATGGTACTCTTGATAGGTAATTCTTTATAATCTCATCTCATCTCTAGATTCATGCCAAGTTGCCACACCAGCGTCCAGAGGTACAAAGTGCATAAATTGCACATACCAGTGGTTCAGCCATGACCATCTCGATCTTCTTCTCCGCCAGCACAGCGAACTCTGCAAACAGGCTCTTAATGACAAACTCGCCCGGTTTGAGCTCGGGGTCGATGGTGATGCTCGACATGGCGGCGATGTGCTGCTTGTCCCAGGACAGAGGAGTGACCGAGGCGGGTGCACGGCGTCTACTGGCGCTGCTGCTGACTGGGGTAGAAGCTGCAGAGACAGAAATAAAGGTGTTAAATTACAAACACCAGGGAATGATTCTTACTATTCTTCTAGTACAAGAAATTTGACTGTCAGGAGCAGGATGAGCCCTGTACATTTACATAAGGCACAAAGTATTTGGTATCCCATTCAAATCATATAAGCAAATGCATGTACAAGTTTACATTTGCACTGCAGGTGGACAGATTAAATGATAGTAGGAGGTGGTTTCACTCACAAAGGGAAAACATTATGAAGCCAGTGCCCACCAAAGGAAAACTTGTGAACAATTCCCATTTTGTGTTGTGACCAGAAAGTTACTATGGTTGATTTAGGACCCATTGTTTCAGAAACTTTGATTGTCCAAATACAATAAGTTTCCTATTTGAGTAACATTCCTGTAAGTTGTGGCAGGGCGATATGGCAAATAATGAACCAGATTTTGTTGCCTTGTATTGATCAATCTCGATTACACTTTCAAGTTTTTGTTTTTTTTTTAATGAAGGAAAAAAAATAAGATACTGGTTTCATGACCAGAAACAAGACGGACAGTGCCATTTAATAAAAAAAAAAATCTTCCTCCAAAGTCTGAACTTTGCTTCAAACCAGATGCTTTTACTGACAGAGGATTAATTGCATTATTGACAATTAGAAAAAAATGATTTGCCCAGCCCTGTAAGTGTAAGCCCAAAAAAATGTTGACAAACCAAACCACTGACTGGACCAGGCCTTGTTGCAGAAAGAGGTAACAAGCGGCTAATCACTGACATAAAAGTAGAGTCCTGGATCTGGGACGTCCCAGACTGAGACTAGAACCAAGCGCCCGCCGCACACTGACCCTTCACCCCGATCCCTCCCAGGAAAAGGCCTTGTTCTGCTACTTCCTGGTTGTCACAGAAACACTCATGCACTCTGAATAGTGAATACCAGCAAAGAGCATTCGAGCTTTACCAGAGAGGCCGCCAACATCCCCAGCAGCCATAAACCAACGTCTGGGAGTAATTTAGAACAACTATGATAATTTTATTGGTGGCATTAACACCCACCCTTCTAGTTTAATATTCTGGCCAGGTTTAAATATAAAGTGAAAAAAATGTAAAATCGAATAAAAGTATTTTTCCATGGCGCAAATACAGACCATACAGCAAATAATTGCACAATTTACATCAGTTTTTTATATACTTGATTTGTCTGTCATCATCATCATCATCATCATCTGCAATTTGAATTTGCCAGGTGAATAAAAGAGCTATTCAAATGTACCAGAGTCAGTGACCTTGCTACCTGCAGTCTGAGCTTTGATGAAAAAATATCAATTATATAACAGGAGGAGATTACACGGTTTGTGAATCGACAGTAGCACACAGTTTAGTTGAGATTGTGTTAGCGCCAATGCTACTGCTCTGGTCCATGCTGTCACAGAGAAGGCCTTTCAAGCACTCGCCCCTTTGTTTACTGTGCTCCACCAACACCCAGTGATGTCACATAGGCACAGGCAGCTACTCCCTCTGGACTGCTCCCACCTCTGTCTCGCAGCCTGGTGCTTGACACACAACAAAAAAATGCAATTTTCACTTTTTTATTTTGTATTTTTCTTTGGCCAAAATTGTGTAATTATCACAATATTAGAAGATATTAAATTAGTAAAAGTAAATTAAATGGTGAGACAGGAAAATTATTGTAGCATAGTTTATATTTCTCTCATTTTGCTGAAGATAATCTAAACTATATTATTTCTTTTCATGATAATCATGAGAAATGTGCTATATATTCCAACATTTTCACTCCCTCTATGACCAGCTTTCTTCAGATACAACACCCAAATGGAAATACTGGACAATAACCATTTTAAGTAACTCTCAGAGAGCGGTGACTCAGCTATTAGTTTAGGGTTACTTATTTTTATTCAAACATATTCAAAACACAAGGCCTAAGATTGCTTTACTAACATGTAAAATGAAAGGCTTTGTCAATCTGGTGCTTTGGTGGCCTTGACTTCTTAAGTTGCTATGTGCTACTGGAAATTGAAAAAGCAGTAATAATTTACATCAAGCAAAGTTTTGAGACATTGCCAAGCTTTTACTGACCATCTGAGTTGCTGTATTGTTTATATTTGGTTCAATTTATGTCACATGTTAGAGTACAGTAGCTTCATTGTCCGCCTTAGCTCCAGGAGGACTTCCAGTGGTTATAAGAACTACTTCCCTAGATGTGAGCGCCTTGAGAGACCCAACAGGGAAAGTTCAAGTTTGGAGCTAAAAAACAAAGCACTGGAGTATTACACAACTGTTAAAGCAGCCCAGTAAAAACAAAGGCCTCCCTAAAGCATGCTCTCCTCCCCATCAGGACAACAGGACAACCACACAGGGTCAGGAATGCACGGTGCATTTGGGACACTTTGGCTAAAGACAATAGAAGCACAGCCAATACTTATGTGGCACGGCCATACCAACTCTGTTATTGTGTCTCAACATGCTCCAGCTTTGACAAGTTAGTACTAGCTCTTCATCATCACTAAACAAGAAGATTGGAAAATAAAACCACATATTAGCACATTTGTCTTGTGTAAAAAATACACTTAATTTGTGTCCTTATCCCCTTGTGAAGATTAAATTAAGTGAGGACACAGTTAACAGTGGCCCAAAGCGGGAACTTTCTCCAGATTTGGCACCAACACTTCCTGGAGTCTTGTGAATACATGGGGGTTGCTTGGCAACCAGGGCCTGGCAAAGACGAGGCCCTGTCGTTGGTTTTACTTTTGAGGTGAATTAAACAAATAAAATGCAAATTAGGTTATGTGTTAAAAATGTGCCATGCAAATATTTAGACTGTATTTTAAAAATGTAGTTCTGCCATCTGAGCACTGCAGACAGAAGTGAAATTTGTTATCACATAAATTAAGTTGGTGTGTCATTATAACATCTTGTGTCATATTTAGCAATGAATGAAAACTATGTCCTTCACTACATTATTACTTACAGTGGTAAGGCAGATAGTCAATTAAAAATAGGTCTGATTGAACCTCAGCAGAGGGGCATGTCTCACAGCCTGTACCTCCTGCATCTGTGGATCTGTGATGTGCAGTAGGGGCTAATAACAGGCGGGAACCAGAAGACGGATCAATATCACAGAAACATTAGCTGCTCCAAAGGGAACAGAGGAGGTTTTAAAATGAGAGGAAACGCAGCCACGGAGGCCGTGAGTGCAGCACAGAAATGGATTTGTATTTTTCTGCCGACTGTATCAGTGAAACCTGAGTGTAATGAGCATCAGAAGAAGCCACACTAAACGTGTATGAATGTAAGTCTGCGCACAGATCAATGATTGTATGTATGGATGAGGAGCTGATTTTAGCTTGTTTCTTCTATGCAAACACTGCAATGGCCTGTGGTGAACACACAAAGTTTATTTGCCAGACAAAAAAAATTAGTGCTCCTGCTGGCCTCAAGACAATCTCATCATCAGATGAAGGAGCGCATTATGGGTCAAATGCAAAAGAGCCAACTTGAACAGGTGTGCGCCAATAATACAAGTGAAAGTCTGTTAAGCTTCAACAGCTGGATTAAACTGTTCACTATTAACAATTCAGTTATGCCAGACCATTGAATTTATATTTTCTGCTAACCATTTTGAGTACTTTGACAGGGTATGTATCTACAACACAGAAAGTTTAAATAAAAAAAAAACCAAAAAAACAATGTTCCCTTGACCTCTGAGCGATCCAACTGTAGAAAAAGTAAAAATGCTGTCTTTGATGACAAACTTGTGTTGTCTGTCACCTGCATACCTCAGCCTGTCCAAACAGACTGAACAAAATCTCTTTCCATTAATGAGCCGTTCTTAAGAAAGGGTGATAAGATATCAGGGAGCAGGCATCACATCCAAGCATGTGCATTTACAGCCTGTTGTCTGGATGGAGCAGATAAGTCTGGACCCAGAGTGGTATGTAAACATGAGCTACTCACAGCTGCTGCTCCATGACTTGAGCAGAGATTTGATGCTGATCTCAAAGAAGACAGAATCCTGCAGGCTCAGCATCGCTGCTATAAAGCTGGTCTCCACCAAAATGGACCAAGTGTTACTGGAGGTTTGTGAGAATAATTCCACTCAGAAAAGTGCCCTGGTCAGTGGTCCCTGTGTGTGACGCTGTGGCCTCCACAGGTGCATCCCACACACAGGGGCTGCTGTCTGCTCCACCTGGACGCTGAGGACTGGACTGCACTGAGGAAGAGGAGCACGAGCATGGCCCGCACACTTAAACAAGTATTCCACCTAAGACGCGCCGACTGCCCATGGGCCAATCCACCGAGTCCCTCATGGCTAAAGCGGATGTGCAGGGGAACTTTGTCATTCTCTGGAAATCAGCAGCCAAACTGTTCACAACAGAAGTCTCAACAACATACGGCAATATTACTCTCCCCTAACCTCCTGAGTGTGCCAGTCCTAGCACACTAGCAGTGTCAGCTCCCCCGCCTCCCAGCACTCTCTCACTCCCCATTCGCTCAGTGCAGCCCCTCCTCTCACGGCTCTGCTCCTCCTTGATGCCTCTGTTCTCTCAGAGAGAGAGAGTGTGTCCCAACAGCAAACACAGGCAGCAGCTGAGTGGGGGGCGGTGATGTCATCAAAATGCTGCGAGTGTTCCCTGGCTGCTGTTCAGCGATGCAAACGCATGTCAGAGCCAACTGTGCTGCCTCTGCTGGCCTATCAAACGCACACTTCCTGAAAGCACCTCAGTTATACTGATGCGTCATCCTGACTGCAGCAGCACGAGGAAGGAAAGGGAGGATGCAAGGGAGACTGTACCAGAGACTCAACTATGCCAAAAAGTTCTTCACTGTACATTCATGCCTCAATAACAAAGAAAATGAAGTAAGTTTAAATGGAACAGAGAATACAGCAACGGTACAGGCTGCTGTGGTAGATGAAATCACCGACGATCTTTGTGTATTTGCTAAATTCAGTTCACACCCAGTGGAGTCACAGGCATTACATCACTGCTTTGTGGACATGCAGCACAGAGCTCACCGTGTTTGAATATGAGACATAGCAGGTTCATCTTGTGTGTGCTTCATTAAACACAGAGGCGCGTGACTCTCAAAGTCATCTGGACCCAAGAACAGGATCAGGTTTGTTAACACAATATTGTGTGGGGGATGGCACTAAGAGATGCTTTGAGACAAACACTCTTTTGTCTCTCTGTGGTCTAGTCTTCATCTCTCTCTCGCCCTCAGTCTTTCTCTCTGTCACATGTCCTTCACTACACAAGTTATGCAAAACCAGGCAACGCTCACTGCAAATAAACAGGGCACAGGCACAAGCTTTGTCAGGCCTGTCGCTGCTGTTCCAGTGGGGGCTCCACACTCAAGGACAAGGAAACTGAATACAGTTCCATTACATACAACTTCTGATTCTGAACAGTTTAAATACTGGTCATTACTAGTTAATTTTAGTTTATTGAAAACACTTGATTTGTTGCTCAAATTGTATGATTCTGTAAGAATTAGTTTGTTGCAATTGTAAATGTGCTTTCCTGAGCATAATTTTGAATACAAGTTTTGCATTAAATTCCACAAATGTTTAAACTTTAAAATTAACCCTGTGCACTGTTGAGGTTTTAACATTGAAACAATTGGCACGACAAAGGCCAGGGCCTCTATGCCCATTGTTTTGTGTTAAACAGATTTATTGTTTGAGGAATGCAAAAGAATTACAGTCAACATGAGTTCCAGGTTAACCTCCTGGAGCTATTGTCTTCGAGGTGACGCACATACAGGACTTCAAATGAGCACGAATAGACAGGGTACAGATCCTGATCAAATGAACTCCTCTAAATGTATGGACAAGGACAGCTATAGAAGCCCATTCACAAACTCACAGTTCTGGACACAAGAACATCATTGCTGGAGACACAGAGCAAAAGGCCCTCCTGAAGCCTGCAGACTGGAGCATGCATTTCCTGTCCTGGGTTGCTCTCAAGGGCACGGGTGGGAACAATAATCGATGAAACTGTAATCCAATCCCTGACCTCCTCTTGAAGCCTGAGCCATGGAGGACAACATCTGCATCCACTGCTGCACAACCAGTACACAGCTCATCTCACGTCAACACTACTTCTTTTCAGAATTAATAAATAAATTAGGGATGTCACACATTTTTACAATTGTCAAGAAAGAAATCCTTATTTTCTCATTGTGTTGTACATCTGAACATATTCAACATTAAGTGACCAGTTTTATAAAACTGAACTGTTTTAACAATACAGTTCTACCAAATACAACATATTTTAATTTTAAATGGAATATATTACATTTCAAGTTGCTGTGACAATCCTGTTTTATGCAATACGCACACACACCTCCTACTCATAATCATAAAGCTGCTAAATGACTTTTTCTTCAGCTACTGCAAGCACTTTTCTTTGAACAGAACCAAGTGTGAGTGCAGACCAAACATCCTCAAAGGCCTTCTCCCTCTTGTTCGCAAAAGGTGAAACTCATTTTGGACAGTCAAGCTGAAGTCTATGTCCCACTGGAGTAACTCTGCAGCCTACTAAGCGAATCTGAATGAAAACTCTTATCGCCAGCACTGAAAGGTCAGCTCATTAGTCAACCCGCATCTTTAAATTAAATGTCTGAGAGTTTTGTCAACTGTAACAAAACATTGCGTCATTGTGCAAAGTATCTGTGCCTTTCTGTAAAAGTAGCACCAGTTGCAGCACACTCGTCCTTAAATAAACCTTGGCGATTACACATATGAAATGGGTCACATGCTCTGTAACACTCCCAAGTAAAATTCAGTACAACCTGCTGCACCCATTAACCAAATAATCTCCCATTGAAGCCTCTCCCAGCAGTCAGCTGCACATCAGTAATTAACTGCCATCTCTGAGCTCCACTGAAGACTAATGACTGAGCGAAAACAGTAACCACCTCAAAAGCCAATGCAGCCTGTGCCAGTTCTGCAGCAGGGAGTGGCCTGGACACAGGGACTGGTTACAGTGGTTACAGGGGAGTTGTAGCAGCAGCAAACTACCCCACTTTAGAGGTGGATGGATAACAGCCTCACTTCTGTCAGTCTACCCCGAGGGAAGTATTTTGGTTTGTTTGTTTATTTGTTTGTTTATTTATGTGCGTGCCTGTGCGTGCAGGTGTCTATATGCACATATGCACACAGACACGCACGCACATGCACACACAGGCAAATATATATAAAATACTTCCTAGTCTTCTAATTCTAGTGCATTTTGATATACCTCCCACCTGTACCCCATACCACTTCATTCCCAGCCTAGAGAAGAACACTCATACTCTAGTCCAGTTACGTAACTCACCAGTGTGACCCGTGACCACGGCCACAGAAGGATGTGAAAAGAAGGAGCGCTTTCTAATATGGCGGATGTTTCCTAAAGTTGGGAAGAAAGAGAGGAAAGAAAACAATGTTCTGAGCCATTCTGAAGAAAGTTATGGCTGGGGTAATATATCAACATAAGCTAGTCAGCACAGACTGAGGACAAAAGCCTCTCCAAATGTCCCTACAATTAAGCTATAAAATGTCCAGCTAAATAATAACATGAATAATAATCATTTTCAAGTAACGTAACATTCACAAAGGTACAACTGTTGTCAGAACTAGGCGCCAGTCTGCCAGATGATTTATATGGCAAGTTTGTTGACCTCTAAGTCAAAATTATCCAAGTAAAATTTTCTGTTTGGATATTTCTTTATCTTGTAAAACTGAGAAATACGCCAAAGAGTCGGACTGCTGTTTGCCCCTAACATCAATGAAAGATATGGCGGGGCATTCATTAAAATTTCATGTGTGATCTCAGGGTGGCTTTCAACAGAGTCAGTCCAATATCTTGTAGTGTAGATTAAAAAAAAAATAATTGTAGCAAGGCCTGCAAAACACAATAACTGCACAGAGCACATGGCTAATTATGCATCATAAACATACAATGTGTTAGTGCCATTGTCAAGCAGCTTATCAGTTTATCAGTTCTGCTTCCACTTTAAAGGCCAAATCATAGAATCAAGGAGGGAAGCAAATAGTTTTTCTTTCATTTTTAGTGTTTTTATTAGCTTACTAGAGTCTCGTCATGTTTAGCTGCTAGCATAGATGTTAAGCGTAGCATTGGTCAAGACACTGTAATGGCTACAGCTTGCATCCATGCATCGCCAGTACCTGTAAAATGCATAGTATCAGAGCTTTAGCAACACCAGTGTCGTGATCAGAACAACCTTAATTAGAATTTGAGATCTATTATATTTACAAAAGATGGGAGAGCCCAGTAGTCATGCTTTAGCCATGAGTAAACACACAGTGGGTGCGTGCTCCGACAGGCAGCACAAATCTACCAGGCTGTTGCAAACTGGATCACCTGTACACGCCCGCTGCATATGTGGACATGTCTTCTACAAAACCTCTGCTAATTTAATTATTAGACCCATCCTTTAAAACTATGACAAGAGTGTCACATATAATCATCATCAGTCATGGATTTTTTTAAAAATCACATGAAATCAAACATGTTACATTTAGTTTCTTTCTGTGTCAGTAGCACTGTACAAGACAAACAGACATTGACCTTTGTCCAACAAAATCCACTCCGGGTAACTATAAAAATAAAGCCCCTGGTCACAGCTGTCATGTGTCACACTGGGTCTTAATCTTCATCAGTTTCTAAGAAAACACTCCTTAGTTGGTTCTTCCTATTTAAGGGCAGCTGACGGTGACTACAGAAGCTTGATGCGGCATCTACTATAAATGCTTACAAGACCAGATCTGCTAAAATCTTAAAAGTTGCAATATGCTTTTGATAATAATAATAATAATAATGTTTATGTGCAACACATTTATTATCTAATATTATGTCAGCAGTCTAGATTTGTCAATAAACCACTGCAACATCACCAATCAATATGACATAAAGTACATTAACATGACTGTTACATGGTATTTCTATGTGAGGCCTTATGATGTTTAATGTTAATATATGGCTGCTTAATATAATAGTGACAACTCTAACCTATATAAAAATTACCTAGAATGTTCTGAGTTCAGTTTTGCCTATACCTCCTCACTCTGTGCATGAATTTGGACTCAGCAATAAAAATCGCTGTGTTGGCTCCTTTCACTGTATTGTGGTCATGCCAATCCAGTAGGTCAGTCATTTCTTTGTGAAAAGATGTTGGAAATCAGTCAACATCACTTTACATGTACTTGGAATAAGAGTGTAAGAAAAGCAGTCATGGTGTACTGTATGATAAACAAACCAAAGAAACTGCACAAAACTCGCACACATCTTAATGAAGATACACATGAACTGCTATCTAAATTCACACAATGGGATATTTTACCAATTTTCTAAATAACAGAAGGCAAAAAAAACAGATGCACCAGTTCAGTCTAGATACTGAAATTACAGTAGACTAGATCACATTAACCCTGCATCAGTCTGGTTTCCAAGGTGGGTCTTCTCATTCTCAGCTGTACACACATTATAAACAAATATCAGCCTAAGGGTTAGGTCGTTACATGCATTCAAGGCAACATCCCTGCCTCAGTGCCATCAGACTGATTTTCAGCTCAGAATATTAGCTAAGCGTCACTCCCTGCTCTCCACCCCACTTCACCCTTAACCATCATATGCAATAAAATAAAAACAAGTACTGCTACTACTACAAAAAAGGATCCAATTTGCTGAAGCAGTTAATTATGCGGTGCCAACAAAATGAGGTGCCAGAAAAGTAAGCTGTATCTTTTTTTTTAGTATACACTACACAATAAAATAACAAGTGATGTACAATTAGAAGAAGCGTCAACAACAAGAAGCCTGTTAATGAGCTCATAGTGTTTTGCCTACCTTTGAGGGCGTGTCTGTGCGCACCCACATCCACCTGCCCCCCCTGCTCTGTACTGTCCTCTTCTATGGTGTGTCCCATGGCCAGCAAGCCCAGTCTCCTCATCCGCAGTAGCCTGGGGCCAGTCTCCTTCGACCCAGCTGTATGGTCCCCAACAACTGCCTCTCCCGACATAGACGCTGGTACCAGGCTTTTAAGAAACTCCATTTTGGATTTTTACTTTCTTACTTTCAAAAATAATCCAAATCTCCAGGCTGGCTCATCTCCCCACTCTTCTTTGTTCCCATCTGAAATCTTCATGGCGAGAGCTGACACCACGTACAGTATAGCAGCTTACTTCACTTCCTTGCCCTGTTATTGACCTGACAGTGCACTTAAAATCCAGAAGAGACACTTCGACACACCGCCAGCTTGTGTAAAGTTGTTTGGCTGGTAACACTTGTGGACGCTGCTTCCTGTATTGAACCCATGTGACGAAGAAGCAGCACAACTTATTTTCCTACATCAACAACTTTACCTGTCAGCAAGAGGGAGGTAACCAAATGCTTTCCTATGATGTTAGCTCTGAGTAGGCAGGAGTAGGCAGGGTTAGGGTGCTATCTGGGGTGGAACTAGAACATGTTTTATAGGAGATAACGCAAGCTCAGGGCAATCGGCCAATCACAACAGACACGAACACAGAGCCACGCCCTGCTCTCCCTGTGTGTTCTGGTGCCATCAGAGAAACAAGGGCCAAAGACACAGAAGCGAGACTGACAGCTCCAGAGAGGAGCAGGAAGAGTGCACTTTATGGTCTGCCCTTCCTGATAATGATATCTAGCACAAGAATACATATTTGTATTATATAAGTGAAATGAGTTCATTAGGGTTAATAGAGTGCTTACAAAGTAGTCATACCTGTAAAGCAGGCAGTCATAGAGACTAAAAACCCTTGTTGAGTTTATTATGATCACATTATTATGTGCACGGTCTGCAGTAAACTAGTTAATCACAATGGTTGTTTTGCTGCTTTAGTCATTTTCGAATCCACTTGTGATCACCTGCTTTTGTCTCACCTGTCTTGTTTTATGGTCTCTTGTTTTGTAAACATTTATGAGCACTGCAGCTCATAATGTGTATAATGATGAAGAGATATTTTTGTAACTTTAAAGCAAATGTCACCTGATATTAGTATTTTAAATCAACAAAGAACTGACTGAAACCTGAAATCATTGCAAAATCTGTTTAATGTTCCTGTACCACCATGGTTTTGGTCAGTTATGAATAAAACCATGGGAAATCTTGCTTTGAGTGCTGGAAATATTTTTGTGAATACAAAATTAAACATACTAATTGCAACTTAATATGCCTTAGTAGTGATGGGAGACCAGACGTAGGGTACAGAGACAGCAGTTTTCTCAAACTATTCCAAACATCCAAAGCTCCAAATGAGAGCTGCTGACTCCAATAAACGCTAACCGCCTGAAGAAGAAATCATCGCTTTGCTGATCTCCGAAACTGAGGGGAAGTAAATTAATAGTCCCTCGAAGCGAAGACAAAGACAGTCTTATGTTTGCACAAGTAGCAGTATAGAAACCACTGCAGTGTTTACAGCACAACTTAATATGGAGAGAGAGATCACTCAACAGGACAAGAAGGAGCAGCTACTTGTCATTTCAGATCAGCAATGGGTCAGCCCTGTATAAATGATATTGTACAAAAGGTTTAGCTTTGGTTAAGCTTTGTGGTACAGCAAAGTTTCAAATGATAAATTTAATGTTGCTAGTGACAAAATTATTTTCTTGAGCATATATTTTTTATTTTGCAACATATTATATTTAAAAAAAATTAAATTAACTTCACTATGGTACAGGGTTTACTTCGAGACATCAAAATGTATAATAAAGGCATTTAATAAAAATCTAATAAATGCAAAGATTTAATCAAGGATCCCTAGTATCAAAAGTATAAGGACACTAACAGTTATGATTTCAACCAATTTTAATGCAAAAACAGCTATAAATACAAATATGTTAGGTTCAGTTTCTTTCTTTCTTCTGTATAAAAAGACTTGCTTGTCCTCTCTCTTAGCCATAATGACCAGAACATTGTATAGATTTTGAAGAAAAAAAACACAAAATGAGCATTTTAAGTTAAGCAGCTTTGTCGGCACTGCAGGCTTTAGGCTAAATGACTACGTCAGCGTGCAATAGCCACAATAATATACAGTATGTGCTCAGACTGTGGCAAGACCTGACACGACCTTGATTTTGTCAACCATTCAAGGAAATAAGAAATATGCCAAACATTCAGGAATTCATTATGTGCTATAAAAAGGTAGATATCTCTTAGTATCTCTAAGTACGTCATGGCTTCAAAAAAAACAAAACACAAGAACAAGGTTTCAAGGTGTTACTTCATGTATTTCAACAGATGGAGTAATGTATTGCAAGTGTTTTGGCTTGATATAATTGAACTGTCAACATCCAATGAGTTCTGCAGAGTAAGCATTAAGTGTGGGAATAAAATGCATGCAATGTTAACTGCAGTGAGCCTGGGTAAACGTAAAACTCTGCCCTCTAGAGGACGACTGGCAGAAGGTACACCAACCAATAAAGCGTCATATCCATGCACTCAAGTGTAACTGTCACACATTGGCAAAACCTAACTTTCTGAAATGACATGTTGCAGCAATGTTGTGTTGTGTCCACATCCAATCTAAATAATAAATTATAGGATTTACGGAAAAATGTATATATTGCAAAAGCAATTTCTCAAAGACAAAATTATGCCACTGGTAAGAATTGCATTAAACTGCTTGAGAAATTAGCTTACATCTAAATAATTGCCCACATTATGAAGGCCGAGAACTGAAGACTGGAGTAAGTCTCTAAATAGCCCAGGATTTCATAACACAGTGTAACGGCCAAATGTTATTATGTAAATGAAAATAAACTTCTAATAAACAGGAATTACAGATCGTGCTGGACTAGCTTGAAAAAAAAAAATAAAAATTTTTAGGTATTGAAATTAAATTAGCAACTTATGCATTAGAATCAGAACAAAGACATCACATTGTCCAAATAATTTAATGTCTGAAGAGAAGAGGATAAGAAAATCCAGCAGGTCATGCTTGCATAGGTTACCATGAGTCAGACAGAGAGAAATAGGGATGAGTGATGGAGCAGCGATAGGCATCAGGGCCTGCTGTTGTACAAAGACTAGTGAAGGCAGCTGTGGGTTTTGAGGGGCCAGGCCTGTAGAGTGCGGAGCTGCTGACTTAGAACAATAGTCCGAGCACAGGAGGCCTCCGATCCCAATCAGCCCAGGAATGTGGAAGAGGAAGCTCCGGGAACAATGTGCAGCGTTCCTCTGCACTCCTGGTCCCACCCGCCTCTGCACAGTGCGCCTTTCATGCGCCCAAAAACAGGAAGAGAGTGAGGCACGGTCCGGAGTCAGCTGGACCAGAGAGGGCCCTGTCTGTGGCTGTTGCATCTTTAGGTGAGCACATGTTTCAACTTGTGCTGCAGCTTTTTGTCAATAAACACAGAGGCCAGAGAGAGGAGAGATGAGGTTCAAAGGAATGCTACACTGCCATCTAATGGTTAAAACAAAAAAGCTCCGCTCTTAACCCACAGAAACAAATCAATTAGCAGTTTTCAGCTATATAGTATTGAATATGAATAAACAAAGCCTAAATACCAAAATGGCGCAGCTTTGAGTGTAGCAAAAGAAAAGTGTATGACACATATCCTGCCTCCAGTTGTCAACTTACAATAAAGTTAACATCCATCTTTATCTTTAAAGGCAAGAAAGTTATCTTTAATCATTTACAGCCTTAATCTGACCTGATGCTGACTTAAACATTTCCAACTAAAACAGCCATATAGCATTTCATGTGGTGCACATTCATACTTTAGTGCCATGACACCAGGAAGTGAAGCTTCTCTGTTATCAATCAGTCTCCTGTTTGGCAATGTATAATAGGGATAAGAAAGTGGTTTATCAGCAGATGTAGGGTAGGTTTTCAGACAAGTTCTCTACACCAAAATGCTACTTGAATCTACTTGGCCAATTTTTCACATTACCATTAACCTAACCTATAATAAATATAAACAGACCAACGGTCCATATTGGTACCAGTCAGTCTGCTTGGGGCGTTAACCTGATATCTATCTTCAAACAGGAACTCAAAATGCAACAATTGCAACAAAGCACTACGTATAGCATGTGCTCTGCCCAGTGCGGTGTATGACAGACGTGAGGACAGCCCAGTGGAACCAGTGTCTGTCAGCGCTGGAAAATGTGACCAGACCAGCCCACGATCAAAATAATCAACTCTTTAAACTTCACCAAACACTGAATGCACTGGACAAAAGGTCACGAGAAGAAATGTACCAAGCGTGCAATAAAGACAATGCATTTAGAAAGACTGGAGAGTAGGGTATTTCTTAAGATGGATGTGTCACTGTTACACCTAACCACATACTGTATGTTGTTTTGATCACTGTTATATAAATATTTCTACTATAAGGTACATACATCTGATGACATAAATGCCAACAATAAATAAAAATATTAAATAAAAAATATATTAATAATTAAACCTACTTAACTTTTTGTTTTTGTTATAATACCAAAAACACTGACGTAACTAGATGGTATAAAAAATATCTTTATGACTAAAAAGAAGCAATAAGCAACAGTTTTATTCCAAATATGACATTTAAAAAAAAAAAAAAAAAAAGACTACTGTCAACAAACATACATACTCTTTTTGACTTTTATCATTATATTCACAAGTAATGACTATTGAAATTGCATTTCATATGGATGGGTCAGTGTTGGTACCACTTCAAAACAACAGATGAAAACAAAGTAGTCCTACATATTTCAATGTATTCTGTTCACATGATATAAAGTCTTATGTGCCAATATGCACAGCAAAACATGTCTGATTCAGTATGCATTCCCGTAACATGCTAAAACTTATACAACTTACAGCTTTGATCACAGTATTGCCGTGAATGGAATGCTACTTTTCCCGAATCCACCCAGAACGCACTGGCATACCTCCTGTAATAGCTCCAAACACATGTTCTATTATATCAGGCTGGTGGAAATCTACAGTTTTTTTCCCCTTTCTAAACTCAGCCAAACAAACAGTGAGATTAGAGGAAGGGTCCTGCTTGTTCCCACGCTGCTTAGCTTTAGCTCGTGTAAAATTCTGCTACAAAGTGAAATGTAACCCGCTTTAACCCATGAAACGCACCTTAGGGCCATAAGCAGAGACTGGTACTGGAACAGGCAGAGCTCAGCCGTCGTCTGATTCACAAAAATCTGAAATTAAAAACAAACAAAAAATGACTACTTCAGTGACCAACTCATTTAAACTGTACACTTCTTTCAATTAGGGTGGATTTTATGGCACACATTATGGCACCTGAGGGTTATAAATATTTAGAAAAAGAGATTGCTCCTATAAAACACACACTCATAGCTGTGTTATGTAATGCAATTAAATGGACACAACTACAGTGTTGAGGTTGTGAAATAAAACCGTTACCAAGCA